ACAAAAAAGGAAGGATATTGTTTGAATATCGCTTACATATAAGTATTATATAATATTTGTATTATATATGTGCGTACTTGACCCCAGCACAGTACACACTGCCTTTGTTGTTGGTTGACTACTCAACGTTGAGTTCATTGCATTCACGTTGCTTGCGGTTGGGGCACCCTGCGGCTCCAGCTGTTCTCTGTGTTCGCCAGCACATTTATTTGCCATTCGCACTTGGCCGCCAAAGCGGCGTTCAGCGCGCGATCTGCGGCGGCGCGCCACACAGAGAATTGACGCTGTTGTTTTACCACTTAATTTTGAGTCAAATAAATGAGTGCGTTTAGCAGCGATTGGACATGAAAAATCTGATACTCAGTGAAACAGCGCAAAGAAAAATAAAAATAATATTAAGAACAATATCAAAAATAAAAAACAACTCAAAGGGAGTATTTTCAAGTCGCAAGTCGCAAGCTTTGATATTTAGTTTTTGTGCCGGCAAGCGGCTTTTAAGCGCTTAGAAGACATACATATGGAACTTTTGTCAGAATATATTTGCAGCCAATGAATCATAATGCACGCAAAATAAAAGTGTCATATTAAAAACTTCGTTCTAACATTTGTAACGTGTCTTTTTGTACTAAATAATCGGTGATCGTTATAAGACAAAGTAGCTTTGCTATGAACCTACTAAATGGGCCACTATTTTAACTTCTCACTCTATAAAGAGAGAAATCGCATTAAAAAAGCTAAAATTTCATTAAAAACAACGCTCCAAATCGAACTCCAGATCGAATATGAGGACCTCCTTGCCTACCATATACCTCAAATTATCCAATATATACCTCAATTATCGCCAAGTTCAGCTATTTTACTAAGTATAGTATGTTCCCAAGAAGATCGGGTCCACATATTGTAAAGCACATAATTACTCCTGCAGAAATGCTTCAAAACTATTATATGATATAAATAATATAATATATATAACGGGAATCAGTTCGGGAGTATATAGGCTCAGCTCTCTATGAAATTTGACATATATATTACTTATGATTTAAGGTTAGATTAGATTAAACTAATGAGTTGTAATAAAGCGGAGCAAGGTTCTGCTACTCAGGTTCCAATTAGATCCACATCAATGCGGCAAGAGTTTATATACTAATTGAGACTCGGCTACCAGAAGAAATCTTCAATTTATTTAACGTTCTGATTTTATTGTTGAACTATTATTTGAATTCGACTTTACTGAAATATTAAAAAAAAGTAAAAAATTACTTATAAGTTACTTACAACACTTTGCAAAACAAACTGAGCAAAAAGCTCAATTAAAGCTCTTAATCAAGTTTTCGATAATATAAGATAACACCATCATGCATAGAGAAAATAATAGTATATCTTAACCAACCAAGAGGTAAATATTTCCCATTAAGAGGTCTTATTTTCCGGTTCCCAACTCGCAAGGCTTACTATCTTTATATAGGCATCACATCATCACTCTTTTCACCGCTAACTAAAGCTCAACATCTTGTTCAAATATTGAACTTTCTTGAACCAGAGCACAATAATCTTCTATTTTTGGCAAATCCAATTTTGTTATAATACAATCTTACTATTTGCATTCACGAGACGCACAATTAATTCAAATCGAGTTACAGTTGCCATTCTCCATCACTAAGCTTTCATTTTTCAAACGCATTCGCTTCTGCCGGGCAACACCGCGGCAAAAGATCAAAGCGCGCGCATCATTTGTTGTCCTATCTTTAGACCATTTTATTTGCCTGTTACAAATTTTAATAGATTAGTTTCACATGGACCATGTAGCCTAGTAGAAGGAGCAAGCGGAGAAGGCGTACAACGCATACAAAAACGACGGCAATGGAGGTGGCAGCAGCTGTGCGCATCAATTTCCATATTGCACTCAAACGAAAGGGAAATGCGCCACTACCACTTCACTTTGCAGACGGCGATTGTAAGGATGGTCAACTTTACAGTAATGCGCGCGCACCGGTGTAACAACAAATCGGATGCGCAGCCGCGGAAGTTATGAAAAATTAATAATAATGTCGAATCGATTGATTTTGTAAAATCAAAAGCGGCACAGCGCTGCGGCGCGTTGCAAACTGATATGGCTGGGAGATACCCAGGGCGTTTGCGATGCGATGCGATTGCCAACACAGATAGCAAGCGCTTCGTTATCGAGCGCAATAATGTTGGTTGCCGTTTGCGCGCACCGCAGCGGCGGCGGTGGTAGCGGTGACCGGGTTGGCGGTGGCGCGCGCGCATATACACGCAGCCGCAGGCTACTTTTGGTTGAAGTTTTTCTTTTATACTTATTGCATTGCATAAATTTGTATTTAGAATATCTTAGTTACTTTTTTACTGCAAGCGCCTATTACTGCGCCGCTTCATTTGGTGAAGCGCATACCATACACATATACCTGCATTTCTTCGTTTTCCCCGTCAATTGCCAGGCGCGTGCATTTTTGCCTGTGCTCCACTCAACGGTTGTGGCGCACAAATTTATTGGCAAATGAAAAATAGCGCCAATTGCCCGCGGGGCGATGTGCAACATAAACCGCTGCGTTCTATTGATTTACTTTATTCGATTGTTATTGTTGTAATGTATGGTAGTAAAAAATCGTCTTCTTCCTTCATCGACGAGTTATTTTATGCGCAATTAAAGCAGCAACAATACGCCACACCATCCAGCTGATCACACCACGCTCCATGGACTGGAAGTTGTACTCCAATAGCCAAAGAAGTCTACGCTTGAAGGCGACAACATCGTCATCGCCTGCTTCATCTGCGATCACAAGCGCCATCTGCATCCACTGTCTGGCTAAGTATTATCTTACTTCCGCCCACCGTACCGTACCGCTTGCTACGTTTCGACAATTGCTGTCGTCACGCATTTATGTCGCGCCTTTTGTGAAAATAATTTCACTCGTTTCTTCATTTTTCCACATTTATTACCGATTTTAATATTCAATTTGTCCGAATGCCAAGCGTTTTAAAGCTTTGTTTTGTGCGCCTACTTCAAGCCTTCAGGGTCCATTTTAACGTACTTCATACAAGTATACTATATATGTATACAGTGTTGACCATTCTGCGGCCGTCGAAATCGCAGGGTTGACAGCTATCAAATTGTACTGTTAAGTCAAATACAAATAGTTGACTTAACCACTTCTTATATTTTTAAGCTGGCTCGATTCCATCTTCGAAGTGGCTTCAAAAATTTTTTTTCTATCAGGGGCGCCCCTCAATCGGTGAACCTCCGGAAAATCCTAACTTCTCATTAAAAAACATAATCTATGTTGTAAGAACAACCATCTAATCTAGAACGAAAGAAGTGGCTTGTTCCAAATGTTACAAGTTTGTTAATACGACAAATAGCTTAGGAATATGGCAGCAGAAGCCGCCCTAAGTCGAACAGAACTGCGGTACAATTAATTGTATCCGCCAGCTAATAATTCATGTTTCTAAAATACCAGAACTTGTCTATCTTGATAAAATCTTTTTCTATCTGTATACAGTCCCAACTTGCTGACAGATGTATTAGAACTCTAATATTGGAAGTTCGCTCAGAATTTTGGTTGTGGTAGTCGAGGTTAATCGCTTTTTGGTTACCGAACCCGAAACTCAATAAGGTTTATGCATACGCTGAGATAGTTAACTTTCTTTGGATCTAGACTGGACCTTAAATATTAAAAACCGATGGGGGTGAGATTTAGCATATTTTTTATCTAGCCTGGGAAGATTATATACAAGTATTGTACGTGTGTCGAGCTTATTTGAATTTGCTGGTCAAAGTTTTGAAGACTGCAAAACAACTCATACACGGTCATATTCACGTTCTATCCAAATGAAACACCCTATTATATTGCGTTTTTTTTTTATCATCTAGCGAAAATACTAAAATATGACTAAGCACAAACCTCAGTTTATTTTATAGGCGTGGGACTTGCCATTTCGTTAGGTCGCTGCTAATCACAGTCCAGCTCTAAGACTCTCTCAGCTCTTTGACTAAAAAAGCAATATGAAAAAAAGACAATATTATATTAGAAAAATGACAAAAGAAGCATAGTGTGATTTTGTAGCTTAGTACCCAACAGCGTGACAAAAGTGTTGACGAGCCACACTCAACACTATGGTTCGATGTGGTGGCTTGTGTGAGCACGCGCATGCGCAACTCTGTTCTAACTAAAAAGCATAAGCAAAGCTTAAGCGTGATGCTGTGAAATTAGCCGCAGGATAAACGATTAATGTCAATCATTATGTTAACGTTTCTGCGGTATAAACGTATTTATGACCCAATTGCTGTTGTTGCTTAACCCTCCCAATGAATTGTGGACGTCGTAATTCTATTAGGAGAGTATCAATGGCTTATATTGAGTTTCTAAAATCAAATTTGTTTAATTAATTTGTTAAGTTCATAGAGCTGGTTCATATATATACATACCAGATCTGCTATTTAGCTTAAGCAATCAGTTCATATAGTAGATTAATCGTACGTGTGATAAGATATCATAAATATCAGTATATTTAGAGTACAAACATCTAGCGATTAGACCTCAAATTATATGGAAGAGGCAGTTTAACCAAAAAGAAAAGTTTCAAATAATCAGCTTGGAAGATCAGAAGTTCCCACGGCAGTCGGGCCTATGTAACCGGAACGGACCCGGATTGTCAACTCGGCAGAATTCTGCCGCTACAACAACAACAACATCAGAATAGTGTCCGGCTACGAAAGTAATAAAACTGTTTCATATAACTTGTTGTAGATGGGACAAGGTATCAATTTATAGATATTTGATACCAATATTTCGTGCAATTTATGAAATCGGGTTTAGGGTACCCTGGACGTTACTATTACACATGTATTTTTTTTTTGTCTGAGTAAATTTGACTTGAGCTGAATTTTCGAATACGAAATTTATTTTTTATTTAAAATTAATATGTACATGCATAGCAATATTTCCTTATGCTCATATATCACATATTTAAAAAAAAATCGAATTAGTTTTAAGAGTTTGTGTCCTGAACGTTTTCAATTTGAGTGCTAATACTCTTTTTGATTTGAAGTGAATCTAGTAGTTGCTTAAGGCTATCCAATTCCTTAACCAGAAAATCCTCACGCCAACCAGGTTGTGTGCATACTTCGTATAAATGTTCCACATCTCTTACCGTCTCGCGCACATCGCCGTCTGTATTGCCCGTCTCAATAATTTCTACAATTTCATTCTTTAAAGCCTTCTCTAGCAATTTCGGCTCATACTCTTCGATTAGTTGTTTTACTTCCGATTCCAATTCAAATAAATGACGATCTCTTTCGCCTGGGAAGAGTTCACGCATGGCATTGGCCAAATTGAAGAGGTATTCACGATTCGGTCCGCTTGGACCGGCAGCTGTGAATATTTGTTGCGCTATCACTGGTATTTGCCACATGTTTCCTGCATACGATGAATTATCCGGTGTCGCTATATACATTGTAATACCAAAGTGATTCTCCAAATCTTCTGGATACTCAAAGAATTGTAAATCGCAACGTTCATAACCATTCTTTTCGCGATAATCCAAATGTGCCAAAACTTCCTCACGATGCTCCTCGGAAATACGATAAGCTATGCCATAAACACGACTTTCTAAACTAACGGTCGGTAGTAGCGTTACAACACGACCCGGACGTATTTTCGTGCCCCGATGATCGATGCTATTTTGGTAGAATAATCTACGGTAACCACGTATGTAGCCACGTTTTCGATCAATGAAGGGGAAGTCTGGTTTCCATATGAGCGAACCATAGCCAAATATCCATACATCATTTTCACTGGGTTTTATAAAACGTGTCTGATTGGATGATATGTGTAGTGATTTACACAGGTTATTAGTGGAATCACGCCATGGTGGCTGATCGGCTTCCGAAATTCTTCTTTCAAAATATTTCTCATAAATATGCTTCACAAGTACTTCCGTGCTGCTACAAATTTCACCATTAAGCGGCAATTTCAAACCTTTACAAAGTTCCACAAAATTCTCTCGGTTTCTAAGCATTTCCTCCCCGTTGTTTTCACCTAAATGCGTTTAATTTTTATTTCATTAAACAATTTTTTATATTTTATAAAAGAAACTTATCATGAATGAACTTACAAAAAATTTTGATAATAAACACTTGTCAACTCGGCAAATGAGACAAAGAGAATCGGCAGCGCAATGTAAATTGGAAAGAGTTGTATATATGTGCATAAACAGAGTTATGTAGACTTGTCGTTATTACAAATTATAGATTATTACCACTGTTTAGTCACCAAAGGTTTCCTTTGTATCTCGATATCAGAACTTAGTTAAAGCCATTCAGACATATCCTGTCAGCGATCTCTGTTGTAAATATTTACGAATGTTGTCGAAAAGCAAACGTCAATACTTCTGCACTGCCAACTGATAGATGATTGCGCGCTACCAGATGTTTATAGAAATCATGCATTTATTTGAAAATAAATTACCCATATAACTTGGGGCATTGCTATCAGAGAACGTATATCTATTTTACGTTCTCTGCTATAACATTTCTAAAAGCTAATAATGGGCAAATTTTATTTCAAATTTGTTTTTAATAAATATACTATTTTTTCAGAATAAATTGGTACTTATTAGTAGACATCCAACTTACGAATTTTTTGTAAATTGATAAAGACTCGCAGCTCTTTGACTAGGAAATGGAAAGGTAGCAAAAGGAAATGGAGAAACCCCTTTTTTTTAATCTGAAATTTCTAAACATAATATAATGCAAATATTTCTACTGTGATATAAAGTTTTTATAGTCGGAAAATTTAATGCACAATGGATTAAACAAGGGTAATGAATCCTAACAAAAGAAGGGCAATCACGAAGAAAATCTTTGCAATCATGGGCTTAACACCCTATGATAGGGAGATGGCAAGTGTTCAAAAGTAAATAACTATCTCACCGTTGTTTTAAGCTTTTTTTCTGCAAGGAGCCTGACCCTTTCAACCATTAAATCCACAGTCACCATTTTCAAGAACTGGACGAAGAAGTACAGATCGGATCTTAATATCACAATCGATAGCATTAAAATATGGAAGATTTTAGGTGTTACGCTTGACATCCTGTGCTCCTTCAGTCCGCATACGACCGCGATTATTGCCAAAGTACAGAGAATAAAATCCCCAAGTCGCTAGCCAGCAGCACCTTGGAAAAAGACACAGAAACGTTGTTGGCAACATACAATGCAAGCGGGCGACCGGTCATTAACTATGCAGCACCGATATGGTCGCCTGAATTGTATCTACATATATATTGTCGTAAAGAAACTCAAAAATTTCCGGCATGTCAAAAGACTGTACTCTGTACGATAACAGGATGCCTCCCGATATCTCCAGTCGAATACCTGCATAGTGATCCCTGCATGCTCCCAGTTAAGTAACACAATGCACTGCTCTCCAAGCAGTTTCTGCTGAGATATTTTCCTAGAAATCATCCCTTACAATACATTAATACAGCTTTTTAAAAAAAAGAAAAACTAATGCCTGTTCGAAAAATTTTTTAATATCGTTTTTTTATAAACAAATAAACGTTGGTTTTTTCCCGAAAATCTGGAAATAAATTTCCTGAGGCCGCCATTTTGTTAATTTTAAATAAAACCAAAAAGAATCGTTAACTTGTTATCAGGGTACAAAAAAGTTTTGATCAAGTGCTGGATTATCTATTAATAAAACTAATTATACCCTGAAAAGGGTACATTAAGTATGCCACGAAGTTTTTAACACCCAGAAAACGTCGGAGATCCTATTAAATATATGTATATATTATATAAATTAACAGCATGACGAGCTTAGTCGATTTAGCCATGCGAATTAGTCCCTGAGTTTTTGAGATGTCGATCTAAAATTTTGCATATGTCATTTTCACAAGAAGCTGTTCATTTATCGAAACAGCCGTTATCGGACCACTAAATCGATATCGGAAATAACTGCCATACAAATCAAACGATCGGAGTCAAGTGCTTATATGTACAACATTTTAATTTGACGAAATAATTTGGCATGGATTATTCTTTAAAGCAATGGTGCGATATCCGTAGAAATTGGTTAGTTGGTATGGCAGCTTCGGTACAACCGAAGTTAACGTTTAATATAGCTTTTGTTTTTTTTGTCCGATTGAATTAAGTTCCCTTATTAAGGTTTTCAACCAAACTGCATTTTGGTAAAAGTTTTGAAATTCAAACTCAAATCAAAAATCAAATCCAAAGATAAGTAAAAAATTTGTTGAACTGGTAGAGTAAACACCTGAAACTGGACGAGACAAGCTATTATTTGGAAACATTAATAAATTAAAGAGTCGATACAATTTACTACTTCTAGTCATATACTTTTTGAGTAAAATTCAAATTTTGAAGGGTTTTGCTTCTCTTCTTGGTGTTCATAATATTTAAAAGCAGGTTTTGTAGCAATCATAGATATCGTAAGTTGCTTCAGCCCAAAATTAAAATCATCTAAAATGCATTCTTGATAACAACCGGCAAAGAAATTGAGAGTTTGCTTTAACTTCAGTTCAACCGAGTGGAGTTGAAAACCGTAGCATGGCTATAGATTTTTGTTTATGCCTCTGACTCCACCCAACCTTTTAAACCCAACAGCCGGGGTAACGTGCAACAATCTTCCGTCAAAATAAAAATTCACTTTCAAATTTTATTTTATATATTTTTTTCTCATTTATTCACTCACTTTGAAATCAATACCATTTCATTCAATGTAGTAAGTAATTGCGTTTAGATTTGATCTTGTTTCATACTTTATCAGTAAATTTTTAATGCTTCCTTTTTTTTTTGTTTTCGTTTTTGTTTTTTTCTCATTTCATGCTATAATTCGCTTAAGTTTTCATTTATGTAATTTCTAACTCGTGAGACATTGATGTGGATTTTATTTTTGTTCTTTCATTTTCTTCTGTTTTTAATTGTTCACTTTTAAATTTAACATCAATATCATAATACACATACATACACGTACATATGATGATCCAAATATATATATATATAATCATATATAATTATGAATGTGAATATGTATTTTGCTTAACGACTTAATTAACTTAATTTAATTAGCATCAGCATACTCACAATCATCATCATGAACATCACGTTCACCAGCATGTTGATCATATCAATCAATGATCGGCTCAATGCAAATAAAATTACGAGTTCCAAGTACTTAATACATATAAAGTTAAATATGCGTATTTTGTATATATATACGTATATATATATATATATATATATATTTATATATATTATTTATTTATTTAATTTAGTTTATTTCATTACTATGTATATTTATATTTAAATGTATCGCTTATACATGATTTTTTGTATTTGTTTTGCGTTTTTTTTATTTAAATACAATATTTAATTTTTTTGTTTTTGTTTCTGAATTACGCTGAAGTTGTATTATTTAACTTCATTTTTATTTTTTCGATAGATTTTGTTTAGATTTCTCCTCTCGACTATCGCTATCGATTAATTATGTTTGTGTAATCATTTATACAGATGTATGCTTGTATGCATGTACGTATATATTTTTAATTCTATATACATATACATATTTGTTAAATTATTTAATTTTATTGTAAACATAATTTCTTTATTTGCTTATCAGTTTTATGTTTTTGTTTTCTTTTCATTAAATTACTACTAAATGGTATTTTACAGGATTTTTTGCGATTTGTAATTTTTATATCATAATTGTTTGTTTTCATATTTTGTTTAATTAATTAATTTTATATAATATAATGTTTAGACTATTTTATCATTTAACTATACAAAAGAGTGTGTGAAGAAGAGCGTAGAAAGAGCGGTGTGTATGTTTTGCCTTAGTTTAAAAATTTGTCATAAGTTTTTTTATAGAATCTTGTTTTGTTGCTTTTTAAATTTAAATTCTTTTAACTAAACTGCAATGTAATTTTTTATTTGTATTTTTAATATTAAACGTTGGAGTGATATCTTCTATAACTGTCATCAGGCAACCGACTTAAAGTATATTTTTCATTTATTTATTTTTTTATATATTTTTATTTTATTAATTTTTTTTTTTTGTTTTTTTTTTTTAATTTTTGTGTATTTTTTCCATTTCATCATTCAAATTCTCTTTTTATCTCATCACTATGCATACGTTTTATCCTCGATTTCTCCCATTCACCAACTTGTACGTGTTTTTGTTTTCTGTTTTTGCTGTGTATTTGTTGTCATTGAGTTTATTTGTGTAATTTGCATTTTTTCTTTTTTAATAAATGTGTTATAAATATAAAACATCTGTTGGTGGCGTTGATACAATTATGTCTCTTATTTAATTTAAACAAATAAAAATTTGAAAGCAACTAAGAAGAATATATATAGAAAAAAATAATAGTCATCGTAATTATATAAAATAAAACGCATTTTAGTTATTTATTTCTATACGTTGTTTTTCCGGTTTTTTGCTCAGTTGTAAAATCTTTTTAAATCTATGAATTTTTATTTAATTTACAAAAACAGAAAACAATTACGAAATCACTAAAATACAGAATTATATTTAATTTTAAATTGAATTTACGTGTTTAAATTGAATAAAATTATAGTAAATTTTATAAAAAAAAAACATTATTTCAAAATTAGAAATAAAAATAAAAAACTTAAATCAAAACTTGTCTATATTATTAAAAAAGGATTATTTATTATGAAAAAAATTGATTCAGCATAATGTGGAATATGTATAACACCATATATTAGAAAATAAATTTTGAACTTTTGAATAAAATATTTTATTTTATTTTTATTAATAAAGCAAATTCATAAAGCATTAAAAAACTAATTTTTATTGTACATAAAAAAAATATAAAAAAAAAACAAAGAATAAATAAATGTCTAAAATCTTTGTTGGCATAGTTTTTGAAAATTTTTCGGAAAACAAATTTGTAAAGCATTTCAAAACTAATTTTATTAAAAACCGCAATTTTAAAAACATTTATTTGGAATATATTTTGAACCTTTTTTTGTCAAAACAAAGTTTTGTTGTAAATAATCAAAACACAGAATTAGCAAGACATCAAAAATTGGAACTTCATAAACATTGTATTTTTAGATACTTTTCTGGAAAGAAAATACGTAAAGCATTTCAAAACTTTTTTTTTTTTTGTAAATAAAAAAAATACCAAAAACTAAAATTCTAAAAACATTTTATTAGAATATTTTTTGCAACTTTACTGGAAATCGTTGAAAGAAATGAAAATTTAAATCAAATTGCTTGAAATTTTGATTTCAAATTTGCAAAGATTATTAAAAATATGTTTCAAATAAAATTCTCTGCTAGGTTTTACAATTTTTAATATTCTTTTTTATTCGTTTACTAATTTTTTTAATAAAAAAAAATTTTTTTTAATATAATTTCAATTTTATCAAATGAAAAATTTTTCAAAAACCTAAAAATATTAACAGAGTTTAATTCAGAAATAAATTTTTAATCTTTTTTAATACAATTAAAAATAATAATAAAATTCCAAAAGAGATGTATATGTATGAATATATATATATTATTTTTAAGAATTTAAAAAAAATTTTCGAATTTCAAAAAACAAAGAATATATTTTTGATAAAATAAAAAAAAAATTATAATTTGTGTAATGTGCACTAAAAAACTATAATATAAATGCAAGGCACTCCAATCTGAATAACTTTATTACTAAAAGTTTAAATTTTTTCTTGTTTTTTAATTATGCTATAAATTAAACAGTTGCCGTTCTCACAAAATAAATTTTAAGTAAAAACTATTTATAATCTTTTTTCCAAACTGTAGCACTAGAAAAAATGTGTGTTTAAACAAATTTTTAATAAAAAATACGGTTTAAAGATTTTGTTGCTGATTTATTAAATAATACAATTTATGTTTACAACTTATTTATTTAGCAGCCAATTATTTTACTATTTAAAAAAAAAATTTTAAATACGTTTATAAGTTATTTATAATTATCTCATTCTAAAAGCCAACAAAAAACTGCAGCATTTTTGTAATATCGGCATTTTTGGATTTCAACCTTTAACTCTTCACCTACGAGACATATTTTAGATTTTTTCACAAATGCTTTTAAATGAGTAATGAGCAGTAGAACTTAGCCTAATTTACAATTTAAGTCATTTTAGTTGCAATAATTTTGTTTTATGTGATTTTTTTTTAATATTTGGTCTAGTTAAGTTCGAAATCCACATAATTTGAATAATTAAGCCGTTTACTAAGAAACTAGGTATGTGTAATTTAAAAATAAATTTTCAAAATTTGGTCTAAATTTACAATTTATGAAATACAATTGTTTTACTTAAAAAAAATTAGTAATTTATAGCATAATCAGCGTTTTACTCGTACTATTAATACAAATAATATTTTAGGCGAATAATTTTTTGGATACTAAAAATACTATACATTTAAATTTTCATTCCCTTAACAAAAAATAAAAAAAATGAAAAAATTATTTTTTTTTACGATTTTCACAAAATGCAGAATTTGCTCAATTAAATTTATTTAATTTCTATTTCTATATGTTAATGCGTTATAAATAATATTTTTGGAAAATATTTAATTTTTTCTATGTTCATGTTTATTTTCATTCATCAGTTTACAGGGTAAATTTTTTCGAAAAATTGAGGTTAACAAAAATTAATGACTGAACCACAATTTTCTCAACGCACAGCAAACAAAAAAAAAATCGGTTAGCAGCAATTTTTTAAACGCTAAATCGCACAGCCATAATTGTATTTTGGAAAAAATGAATCAATAATAAAATTTAACACAGTCATGATTCAAAAAAAAAAAAACATAAAATAAAATAAATAACCCAACTGCGCAGCACAATGAAGAGCCAAAGCAAATAGTACCTTAAAAATCATAACAAAAATGTGCCAACTGTTTCCAGCGCTTGTTAAAAATGGTTGTTGTTGTTGTGGTTGTTAACCTAACAATTCAAGTTGCGCAATAAAATTTTTGTTGCAATTATTGTTATAACAGCTTAAAATGCGCTCCCAAACTATTTAACATGAGCGTACTTGTTCGTATATAAATATCTGTAGCTCCTGTGACAGCTTTGGGTACAAGTATCTGCAACACCGCTGCTAATGATGATCACAAAATTAGTTTTGGAAAAAAATACTATTCTGTTTTGAGTGCACCTATTACAAGGTTTCAAGGAAATAGTGGAAGTGGCAATTGGCTGCAGCTAAATAGCAGTAACCAAATATGGTGCATATTTTCAGGAGTCAAGCTGTGATAATTGTTGCCCACCTAGCGGCGTATATTTTTTTGTTTTTTTAGAATTTTTCTATAGCATAATGAAAGCGTACTGTTTTTTAAAAAACTATGTTGCGCCGCCAACAATTTTTTTATGACTTTTTATTTATAGCAAAATTAGTTTTAGCAAAAATCGGTGCTCGGCTGCTGTTTGTATTGTAAGCCAATATTTGTTGCAGAAAATCAAAAGAAAAATTAGACACATTTTTGTAAAATTTCGCTTTCTTTGTTTTAATGTAGTATATGGTTGTGTATGTATAGATGTGTGTATATTTTTAATTATTTTTGTTTTTAAATTTACTTCTTTCATTGTGATATAATTTAAATTATACAATTATAAATTAACACAATAACGTAAATATTATTTAAAATAAAAATATTATAATAATTATAATCACTTATAATTATAAGTTATCAATATAATTATAAACATTAATTAATTAATTAATAGTAATAGTATCTAGGTAAGAAACGTTTGCTTTAAATTAAATAAACAAAAAATATATATATGTATGTATAGATATTTAAAGAAAAATCTGCAAATACAATTTGTTTCTCTTTCTTCTGGCGTTAGTTTTCGTTTGTTGTTTTTCGTTTAATTTTTTTTATATTTTCCACTAAATTATGCATACAATGTTTGTCGGTAGCGCAAACGCAAAAAATCTTTGCCTTACTGCTGTGAGGAGCTGAACGAACAACTGCTCACATTTCAAAATATTTGACATTTTTCAATTTTTAGTAGTAACTTTTCGCTTTCAAACATAATCCATAGATAGCAGCTAATTAGTTGTTATTGCATACACAGTGCTGGTTTGGTTGTGTTGATTGGCAGGTTGAACGCTTTAGGGGCGTGAAGGTGGGTGGTTGTGTATTAAATGTAGAGTATAGCTTTAGAATTCAGTAGGAAATTGAGGCGTAATGCGCAAAAGATTTTTTACCAGGGTTGACCGTGGGTAGGGAAAGCACAACGGCACCTTTAGTTGGTTAAAGTTGGAATTTTTCAGAATGGCGTTGATGGTTGTGCACCTGCTGTTGGGCGTGCGCTTTATTAGACGCATGAAAAATTGCTGTTTCGTGCAGAAGTTTACATATATGTAGCGTTAAAGATGGCTATTACGCGAGTGGCATGCCAAATTTGATAAAGCTTTCATATTTTAGATAAATACTACTTTATAGCAGCAATTATTTCAGGCCGATATTGTACAGCTACTTATTTGCTTGCAATAAATTTTCCAAAAATTAAAAAAAAAATAGATTATTTGCGCAAAATTATTGTTTCTGCACATGAAATCAAATTTTCCAGCTAGTGCGCCTAAAAGTATGCTACTTATACAACATGGCCGCTTTTAGGCAACGATATTTCAAAGCAAAGATTAGCTGTTGCACTTGTCACTGTGTTGGAGCATGCATACAACTATGTAATCAATGGGCCAGTTTTAGCCTCAACCACCTCCGTTTTTCGTTATAAACGAAATTTTAATTTTTTTTTCAAAAACGAGTACATACCCGTTTTTTGCGAACACTTTTCAATTTTTACAAATGAAATTTACATTTTTATTGTATTTTTTTGAACAGCGCATGGTCGCCCAAACTAACTGTGTGTGCGGGGTATATTGCTGACATAATTTGCTTAATTCCTTATTTCTTCTGCCGACTGTCAGCCAATTTGTTGTTGTTTTATATATATATATTTTTTTTTACAATTTACGCTGCTTCGTTAACGCTTTAAATGAAATGTGTGTGTTTTTGAAAATGCATACATATTTTTTTTTTTGTAGATCTTACAACCGTTTTTCATAATCGTTTTACTATATTTTTGTAATTTTCTGCAGATTTTTATATTGTTTTTTTTTTTCAAATTTTTTTGCATTTTCTTTTCATTTAAACTAAATAAATGGTAAATGTAGTATGTATGTTATGCTGCGTTATGTTTGTATGTATGTATGCATGTATGCGTGTATGTATATAATAAATTACAACGGAAGTGTCGGTGTGTTTGTAGTTGGTGTTGGCGTCAACATCGACGCGGATGGAGGATAACGCAACGTATGCTGTGACGTTGCCTGTTGTATATAATCCTGACTTGGATTATTCAATACGCTATCCCGTGAATTTGAATGTGAAGTGGCGCGTAGCAGTGTTACCGCTTCGCGTTCTGGACTACATTGGACACCGTCTAGTCATTTTTGACGTGATGATTTCTTCTTCTTTCGTTTAAAGAAACAACAACATCTGCAAAGACAACACAGGAATGAACTGAAATCAAAATAGATTATATAATAACAACCCAAATCAAAGAAATAAGCAGAAAACTTTAGCATATGATAATTATTTATATAGAAAACTAACAAAGCATGTAAAAAATGTATGTATGTATGTATGTATGTATGTATATGAGAACGACAACTTACTTCGTTTCATCGACAAGCTCCACTTCGGGCTGTTGCGTTATAGGAGTATTTGAGTGGCCAGCTGTGGGATCATCCGCATTCAATTCGCCATTTGTGGAACTCACAACCTGTTTGTGCGAGAAAATAAAAAGAACATAAAATAAAAAAATATAGATATAAAGTCATATATAGTAAATATATGTAAAATTAATTATTAATTATTAAAAATAAATTTAAAAAACACACAGTGTTTACGTAGTAAAAATTTGTATTACAATTTTTTAATTTTTTTTTTTATATATTTTTTTTTAATTTTTTTATATATTTTTTTAAATTTTTTTATATTTTTTTTAAATTTTTTTATATATATTTTAAATTTTTTATTTTTTCAAAATTTAAAAAAAAAAAAAATTTTTATTTTTCCAAAATTTACAAAAAAAAATATTTTTTGTTTGTTTTTACAATTTTGTTTTGTACAATTTTTTTTCGTTTTGGGAAAAATTTAGTTGGCTTCGCTTATTGGCCGACAATACACAAACATAATGAAAACACACAAAAATACGTAAAGAAATATATTTTAGTTGCAAGTTGCGCTATGCAAGACGAACACAAACGTGGTAAGAAAATTTAACGGTTAACAGTAGACGCTAGACAAAAAGGTACATACAGAAGTTTATGCTTTAGATATACATATTTATTAAACGCTATGTATGCAAGAAAGGGTGACCACACCAATAAGGTAAACCAAAAAACTGGTGCTCAGGTCGCTTGCTTAGCATTACATAGTTTGTAAATACATTTTTTCATATATAAAATTGAAAAAAAAATCGACTATATAAAGGCGGAAATTGTTTCAAATTTGCTTCTAAGTGATTTTCATAATTAGTAGAAATTTTAACTAACACAACTTTACTTTACGTGCGTCGTAAAAGTGAGCTACTAACGAGTGTTTTTAACAAGTTAATGTGTTTGAAAAGAGAGTATAGTTTTTTAAGGGTTAAAGTTAAGATGTGGTAAGTTTGCCGCCCAAAGTGTGCTGTGCTAAAAATTCCTAAAATTTGGTGAATTTTGTACAAAAAAAAAATCGTGGTTAAACTCAAAATTCTTTATAAAAAAATATTATGTAAAAGTTTTATAAACTAGTATAATATTTCTTTTTAAACATAATTTAAATTAAAAATATAATTAGACATATAATTAATGCATTATTTGCAACACTAATAAACATAAAATTTAAATTTCTGAATACTATGAATTAACATTTTAATATTAAATTTTTACAAACATTTTTAATACTTTAAACATTTTTGTAGTTTTTGTAGGAAATAAGAAATTTTTATAATATACAGCGTCTACCAATAAGGATGACGTGATTTTCACAACTCGTGTCGGCTATGCTTTTTTGTGGATTTGTGTAAAATTTTGTCCGTGTGTTGTGTATGCCATTTTACCATGTCACGTATCACACTTTGATACAACGCTTGGAAGTTATCATCGGAAAATCTTCTTCTCAGATGAGGCCCACTTCTAGCTTAAATGGCTTCGTCAACAAACAAAATTATCGCTATTGGGGTGAGTCAAATCATCATGTGGTTCAAGAAACACAATTGCATCCCCAAAAATGTACCATTATTTCTTTCGAAATAAGGCAATGTCGTTACCATCAATAACGAGCGTGTTATATGCGCTTAAGCAGAATACACAGTGAACCGAGGAAGGTGAGATTTTAAAAAAATATATTATATTAGCAAAACCAGCGCAGATTATACACATTACCTTTACAAAAAATTTAAATTTTCAAAATAAATTAAACTTTTTTATATACATAATAACTATTACAAATTTATAAATTTTTCAACTTTGAAAAAGTATAATATATTGTATAATTATTGATTAAATTTACTGATTTTGTTTGTTAACTTTAACAGTAAAAAAATAACGCTTCATCGCACGTTGCTTTGCCCATAAAGGCACTACGTCTTAGTCCGTTAGTTCATTATAAGAGCACGTTGAAAAAAACAACGAATTTTTAAATTTCGACTTGATTTACGTGACGTTTCATAAATTTTAATCAAATATTTAAGCTTTACAACATAAGGCAGTTCCAAAAACCATTTAAAAAACTGAACTATACCAAATCGGGTTATGGTAGGTTCAAACTACTCAAAATTGGCCGCGTTCGAGAAAAGTGGGATGCAAACAGACGCTTAAAAATTTTGAGCAAAAGGTAAAGGAATTTAGTACAAATTTAGACTAACCCGAATGAATATTTTGAAATGAGCTGTGTTAAAAGCAGACTGTAATGAAAAATTAAACTAAATTTTCCAAAAAAAAAATTATTTAAATATGGAATAATAATTATAATTTTAATAATGATTTTAATTTACCTTCTGCTCAACGCAAAACGAGACTTTATCCATAACTCGACAAGGACATGACATATGGCCATACTTTTTTTTGCTTAGGTTGGCAGGACTGTTATATGTTTACATGTCAAATTTGAGCGCGATCTGTCACATAGTTTTTTTTCAAGGCACTATAAACAAGTCAACCTCGAGTGTATTTTTCGAATTTTACTATGGAAATTAACGTTGAGCAAAAAGTGTTTGTTTGAAATTTTGTTATTCCAATGGAATAAGTGCGACGGACGCAATGAAAATGTTGCAGAAGGCATATAGGGAGTCTTGCCTATCACGTGCACGTATTTTTGATTGGTATAAGTCGTTCAAGGACGGCCGTACATCGCTGGAGAACTTGCCCCATGATCGTCGTCCAGCAACGTCGAAAACGAAGAAAACGTCGAAAAAGTAAAGAAAATTGTGTTGGAAAATCGTCGTGTGACTGAAAGAGAGATAGCTAGTGAGCTCAACATATCAAATGGATCCGCTCATAGCATTATTCACGATGTTTTGGGCATGAGACGTGTGTCTGCTCGACTTGTTCCAAAATCCAGCTCATACGTCTCGTCTTGTACGCGATTATTTGACCAAAAACAACGTAAATATTGTTCCGCAAGCACCGTATTCACCCGACATGGCACCGTGTGACTTTTTTCTTTTCCCTAAACTCAAATTGCCGCTTCGTAGAAAGCATTTTCAGTCGATTGAAGTCATAAAAGAGAATTCGAAGAAGGAACTGAAAGCCATACCTAAAGCGGCCTACCAGAAGTGTTAGGAAGATTGGAAAAAAAAAGGTGGCATAATGGTGACTATTTTGAAGGGGATAAAATAAATATTGAAGAATAATTAACCGTTTTTGTTGTTTGAGCCAGTCTCGTTTATATTTGAGCAGAAGGTACATAATAATTCTAGTATGATTCAAAATAAATTTGCGCAAAGATGAGTTTTATGAACCAACCATTTCTTTTTTGTTTATTTTTTTAATGTTGTGGTATGGCAGCAATGTCTCTGCTTATATTTTATATTTCATTTTTTTGTTGAATTATATATTTTTGTTTTATAATATGAAGGTAAAAAACATTAAGCTTGTTTATTAAATATTAATCACAAAGATTGGAATATGAAAATGAATGTAACCGTTACGAATACAACAATTTCGAAAAATTCTAAAACACAAGCCAATGAGCCACCAACAAGAAGCAGATATTACGAATCATAACAGCTTCAATCAAAAAATACCAACTTGAGTATAACATTTGACCGAAAAAAATAATTTAACGAAAACAAATGTCAATACGAGTGACACTGACCCGAATCAAACAACCACAGACAGGGAAAATCACATGAGACTAAATACTTTTTGTTTTTACAAATCTGCTATATACCTGTAACTTTTTGTGGGGCAACCAAGGATTGACATTCGGCTAAATCAAATTAAAATTTCAAAGTGTTAAAAAGTTATATGCTGTTTAAAATAAAAAATGTAATAAATAAAAGAAAAAACAAACTAAATAAATAAATTGTGAAAGCAAGTAAAGTCTTTGCTGATTTATTTTTGAAAATATTTTATTCTGCACTTCCATTTGCTTAGGCAACTTTCTCAGTGGTGGGCGCCACTGGCGCATGTATAGACACTTCATAATCGCTCTTTTCATAATAGGCATCGAAGGGGCTATCATCGTCGGAGCCTGAGTCTTCGGGATAACGCTGCAGGCACATTGCGTTTTCAATATGTTTGAGAACCAAAAATAAAGAGCAATAAAAATACAAAAAAAAAAAAAACTACTATTATAAGCTGAGCTAAAATAGAGAATTTTACCCCTTTTTGTGATTGGTGAACACAGATTGTACGCACACGTCATTGATATGAGCGAGTGATGAGTTGCTCATGCTAGCAATTGTATTTATTATGTCACTAAATCTTTTCTTTTAAATGTATGTCATGCCATAATGCATATAAATTTTATACCATAACGTAGAGCTATAATTATATCATGCCATAATGCATATAAATGTGTTGCCATTATGTATGGCTATAATTATGGCATGCCAAAATGCATAAAAATGTTATGCCATAATTTATGAACCCAAGAATGCATTTTACTTTGACCGATTTTTGACAAAATGTCATCCATCTTTTAGGAAACAAAATATAATTTACCAAAAACAAGATTTGAAATACTTTTAAATGCAAGGTAATAAAATCAGATAAAACGATGAGTGATCAAAATCAATAATGGAGCTCATAAGCTTAGTCTCATGGAATACAAAAAAAAAATATACTCGTAGGTATATCTACCATAATTTTCAAGGTAAAGCAAGATTTACATATTATTTAAGGAAGATGACAAGGTGTCGGTTGTTTCGTTAGAATCACTTCAGATTCCCTAGAACATGACTTACAACACGAGAGGATATAACTTAACGTATTGTCTGTATATGTGAGACATTTAACGGAAAATTATGTCAATTACGGCAAAAGGACTATTCGTAAATATTTACCTTACCGAATATAAATGTTTTTTTATTTGATATAAATTTCATAATTACGAGAACTCATGCAAAACTAGTGCGTATAACGGTATGAATATCACTTCAATCAATGCTTTGATCGAAAATGAAACGCATAAAATCACTATAAAGTGAAATAAAAAGTTGTTTCCTTAACTTCTCACAAAAAAAAATATATCATGAGAGTAACTACCATATTAAAAGTGGCATGCAACAAAATCTTAATGCTGAAAAAATTCAGTTTGCAAAACTGAGTACAAAAAAGTTTCTACCACCAGCATCGAAAACAGTTAAATCAAACAACAAAATGCACGAATTTAAATAACACACATACAAATACAGTTAAATATGTATACATGTATGTATGCTTTTATACCACACAAATTTATATTAATTAATTTCGAATCAATTAAACTAGTTAAAAAGTGAATTCAACTAATTAAACGAACAGTCAAACAAACAAACAAACAAATAGGGTCGAGTACCTTGAGTTTATGTAGAGTAAATCAAGTGAAAACATTACAATTGAAAAGGCCAAAAATATAATTGTCTGCACAGTAGAGTAGATTAGTAGAGTAGAGTACACGGGCATAACGTAACGCAAGACAACGCAACGCAACGCAATGCAATGCAATATAACGTAACGAACGAAGGTGTTGTGGATAGTACATAGTAGGTATGTATGCATGTTTTTAAGTCACACATATATGTACATATGTAGGTATGTAAGGTAAGTATATACAAAAATAAATATTAATATACAGGAAGAAGTAGAAATAGCAGTAAAAGTAGAAAATTATATTAAACATATGTTATAGAGACAAAGAGAGAGAGAGAGAGAAAGGAGAGGTTTGTGTTGGAGAACAAATGCATGAAATAATGAGATAGACAGACGGTAAAAACTCAAAAAGACACAGATTTCCACGACTGGCAGGAATGAGAGATAAGCAAGTCGAGAAAAGTGTGTATGAAAGTGGCAAAACTTAAACTAAATTAATATATCTCAATGATATAGTTTATATAATAAACGAGTAAAGTGGAAAGTAATGAGTTTGTGCATAATGTATGAAATATTGTCAAACATTTTTGAATTTTAAGTAATTTTTTTTTTTATTGTATTTTGGCAAACGAACCACTTCTAAAGTAGACCTTTTATATTTTGATTATTAGAATTGCCAAATAAAAATTAAAAATTATAAAAAATAAACAGATTTTCGATTTTTTATCAATGCAACATTTTTCAAAATTCAACAAGCGCACTTAATTTGAGGTTAAGTGTAATGTGTACCTTAAAAGGTTTAACCTTTGAAGCAATTGAAATTCTACAACTTCCAGTGCTGCATTTTATATACTAAAAATTCAGCCTCAATACCAGATTTTTGCACAAATTTTATTAAAATTTGTTATTCGATTAAATTGCTTTTAGTAGATTTTTCATATTGAAAACCAAGTTTCTATAGTTAGAACAAAAGCACTTCGAAAAAGTGTGCAATAATCGTGTAATTGTGTTTTCCTGTTTTTTTCTATCTTAATTTTAGTAATTTAGATTATTTAAAATAATAATTTTTTTTTGCAATTTATTATTAAAGTGAAATTTTCTTTATTATGGCCACAAAAGTTTCATTTCAAAATAACTATTCAAAAATTTTAGTTGGCATTGATTTTAAAATTTTCAAATTAGAATATGGTGTTTTAGCGGTTTAAAACTTACTGAGATGACAGCTGTCAAACCAACTGTCAAAGTTAACACAAATGTTTAAAGTACCTATGTACCATATGTCTCTATGGAAACTCTCTATGCACTCTTGAAAACAGAAGTTACTTCTGATATGGTTTGAAGGCAAGAAATATTATTGATCCATATTGTTTTAAAACTAAGCAAACGATGCCGTCAGTATGCTGCGCTAAAGGTGAACGACTTACCACTTTTTGGCTCTCCACTTTGGTATAAACTAAATAGCTAAATGTTATAACAGTGGCCCAACTATAAAGGTCACTTACTTGACTATATTATACTACTGTGCTCAAGCAGCTACGACTAACCTATTACAAACCCACATTCAACGTTTTTTTTTTTATAAGATTTGTTACAAGAAAAAATTATAATGTTTTATAGAAAAAATTGGTTTGCTATATTTCTCTTTTTTTATAGAATATAAATTTAAAAATAGCAATCCTATAATTTAAAAAAAAAATATTTTCACTAAAATATCAAATACTTAAATCGTTTTTCACTTAATTGTTTGTTATAATAACTGGTTTCACAAAAGCAAACAAAAACATTTTTAAATTTTAATTAAAATAAAATAGTAATCTAATATCATAAACTTAGTGGTAAGACTAAGAATATATAAAAATAGTATTTTAAATCTAAGATCATGGAAAAGTTTTAAGAATATTAATAAATCAAATAAGAAATATAAACCCAGTAGCAAAAAAATCTTTAAAACATGTATCTTTAAACCTTTAGAGCAAACATTTAAAATGTTTTAAAAATCTTCAAATTCAAAAATGATGAGCGACAAATGAGTCTTCGCCAGAAAGAAGTTTAAGGGTACATTGTTATTTTTTTATTAAATTAAAAACCTCTTAAAAAAATCCAAAAAAAATGTTTGGTTGGGAGGTTCTTATGCATCCACCTTATTTTGCGGACCTCAAACCAAGTGGTTGTCTATGGCAAATCATTTTGCTGGTGAAAAGTTCGGCTCAAAACAAAAGTTTTAAAAATTCACTGTCCATTTGTTTATCTCAATAGGGACGAGGTTTTTTATGAAATTACTTACAAAATGCCAACAAGCTTTTTCTACGATGCGTATTTCACTTAAATCGGATAATTCTAACTATGCTAATTAGAACCCTTAATTTAATGAAAAAATAATGGATTTCTTATGTGAATTATAATTGAAATCGTAGACAAAAATTTAAATTTATTAAAGCCATATAAAATATCGTTTGAGAACAAGAAAGTAGCTATCGATTGTGACGAGTCATGCTTTCAGGCAATAACAAATATTTGAAAAAATTTTTGGGAAATACTTAACAGTAAATATAAACTAAATTTGAAAATGATAATTTTGATGACTATTGATTTGAATGACAATCACCTCTTGACAAAATGATACCAGTAAAATAAGTGACTAACAAGTGGGGGAGAACCATATGTACAATTTGTATTAGGGTGGATAAAAAAAAAATTTTTTTCGCTTCATACTCTGAAAAATAGTTTCTTAGACACCTCTACGAAAATCTCTCTAAGTATGCGCTCTTAATTGTAACGGGATGGTCAACCGCCTTATAGTTTTCTATTTTTTCTTATTATCAGATATAATAATTCATATATCGCTTCCAACTACTTGAAAAAATATCTCGTTTCATAGATTTTTTAGGAAATTGAATGCTCTACAAAGTGGTCTCTCACGATTTTTTCGTAAACTAATCGTTCAATAGATAATAACGTGTGGAAGTTTAATTATTTTAAGCATGTGTTTTATGTATGGATGTTTGATGTGAATATCTCGTACACGCTTAATTTAATCGAAAAATTGTACGAAAACATTTTTGTAAGGCAAGGTCACCGTTATAATTAAAAAATGCATACTTAAAAGTGTCTAAGGACATATATTTCATAGTACCAAGCGAAAAAATTATTCGATTTTTTTTTTTGACCCATTCTAATATACATACATATGTATGCCTCCTACTTTATTCCGATTTTGCTAAAATCAGAAGAAAATATTCTAAAATTTTTATATGCCTACAAATTTGCTAAAAGTTACAATAGTTAGTCACAATAGCGCAAACACACATACACAGCCGCACAACAAACGTAAAGCAGGCTAAGTTAAAATTTTAGTTACACAGAATGTATGAATGTATGTAAACAAAAATGCAAAGACGGCGAGGGCAAATCTCAATGAGAAGTGGGAGAAAATATTTTACTAAAACTACAAGTATGTGATGGTTTAAAACAAAAAGTGAGACTTGCAATGGTTGGAGGGAGGGGTATGCATTTTTCGCCAATTACATATAGGCAGGCAATAATAACAAAATCAACCAAATACATACATACATACATACAAATGTATACATAAATGCATTTATGTGAATGAAATGGCACAATTTTATTCACAAATGTTGGTTTGTATGTATGTATATGGATGTATGAATATGCATGTATGTATGTATAAGAAAATTTTGTACGGTTATATATATTAGTTGCAACGAGATAAGTTAAATACAAATAAAAAATACATACATGAAAATTGACATTTTCACTTAGTTTAGAGGTTAACTAGGAATAGGTTGCATGGCAAAACTTGGTTTCTTTGTTGTTGTTTAGTAGAAGAAGAAGAGCAAATGAAACTTACCTGCACGGAACCATGCCGATCGGCCGGTGTTAGATTGCCGAGTGTGGCGCCTGGTTTTGGCACATCCGGCCACGCAGCAACGCCTCCTTTGGCATTTGTCTATAAGGTTGACATTTTTTTGATTTAAATTTTTTTTATTTTTAATTCATAAAGCGCAGCCACAACAATAGCAACACCAGACACCACATAGCAGCGGCAACAAAAACAAGCGCAGCGTGGACACAAGTTTGTATGCGCCACAAAATATGGGTCAATTAGCCGTGTGCCATTTCGCGTAACGGTCACATGCAGCACACACACATACACAGTTACGATGCAGTTGCAGTGGCGGATACGGAGGCGTTGACGTTGACGTTGTCGCACAAGCGTTCGTTGGATTGGTATGTTGCAGTTGTTTTTGTTGTTGGTGGCATAATTGACACGTGTCGGCGGATAACGGGTAGTGCAAACATTCATAATTTTTCAGTTATATGGCGTTGGTGATGCAGTAATTTAATAGTAATAGCAAACGATGATGGGTAGGTATTTTTGTTGTTGTTGTGGTTGATGATTATTTCAATTGGTATTGGTTTAGTTGTTGTTGGTCGATTGATTTTGGTTGATCGTGATCGTGCGGCAAAATATGTTGCAATTATGTAAGATTTAGTTTCGATTTTTGTTTTTAGTTTGCGTTTTTTTTTAGTAGCGAAATTGGTTACAAAAACAAAAAATAAACAAATTCGGTTTAGTTTCAGTTATTTTAAAATATTAAAAAAAATTTTTAATTTTTGCAATTTCTAAAGCTTAAACGCAAATTTATACACTTCAAATTAGCGAATACGAAATTTTGTCTACTTTTCGCTGAGAGGAAATCATATCTACAGGTGAATATTTACAACAATGTGCATGTGTATATGTGTTGTATGTATGTACAAATGCATCTATTTATATGTATGTATGTGTAAGAACTATTGAACTACTACTACAACTACGAAACGTGTGTGTGTGTGAAATGACATTGCCAAGTAAAGGAAGTGGCTAGAAATTGAATGGCAAATGGAGAGGAAATAACGGCACAACGGAAATGTTGAAATATAGCGCGAGAATTGAAAATGAACATAGAAATTTGTTGCAACGACGACAGGAAACTTGTAGAAGAGTTTTCAGCTGCTAAACGATAACAAATTGGAGTGTAACGGTAACTTAAACGGCAACGAAATTGGCAAGTGAGCTGAGTTTGTGTGTGTAACAGTATAGCCCGTCAACCGTCGTTCTGTCAGTTTTGTGTGCAATCGAAAATATTGAAAATATTGTTTGTGTGTATGCGTTTGGTTAAGTGAGGAATTGACCTAGCTACTGACAAAAGATACAATTGTGCAGCAAATGCCATTAATCGAATAGTCCGTAAGGCAAAATCCATTATGTTGTTGTATATGTCGACAATTTCAATTTCAAGCTGTGACATTTGACACGAGAGATTTCTTTACAGTTGTAACATATGTATATGGTCTGTGTCAGCATATACACAGATAAATACAGTTTTACGCTTGAGATAGTCACATGAAACGATTAAGGCGAACACCAGTGGAAATCCATGGAAGGAATGATGCATATTGCTTGGCATACATCAAAAAAGCTTTCAAAGCTTCTCTCAAAAATATATAGCACATTCATATGTATGTATGCTATAAAATTTTGTTTACTTATATGAGTTTTTAATTAATTTTTTGTTAAGTTATATTTATTTTTGTATTTATATTATTTTAATAATTTTTTGTTAAGTTAAATTTATTTTTGTATTTTTATTATTTTAATAATTCTTTTAAATTTATTTTTTAATTTTTTATATTTTTTTTAAATTTATTTTTTTTTTTTTAATGTTTTTTTTTATTATTTATTTTTTTATTATTAATTTTTTTTTTTAATTTATTAAATTTATAGTGTTTTATGTAACAAATTACAAATTTTAAATTCCTTTATTTTTATTATTGATATTCGTTTTAGTACTAGTCGTAAAACGCAGAATTTGGACAATTGCCCGGTGTGGAACCACATTTCTGCCAGTTGTAGAGCTAAATGATTTTGTTTTTTGTGAGATTTCGGTTATTTAGAACCGGACTCTCAACTTGGCAGTAATTCCCACAAACCTGTTCTGAAATATTTCATTAATTACAACAACAACATATTATTATCTCAGGACTAAATTAGTGTGTGTAATGTAATTGTTTTTTTTTTTAAGTATTCTTTCTTTTATTTTTTTATTTCGAAAAATTTTCGCCCATATACACTATATAAAATTATTGTATGGTTAAAAATTTAAGTGAAGCAAATAGTCATAATACAATAAGTTTTCGAAAAAATTTAAGTCGAAATAGAAAGCTTAAAAAAAGTAAGTAATTATATATGTATATGTTCAATATATATTCGATTTTAATACTTAATTGCATATAACTGTATAATTTCTGAAGCAGTTTTACTCACAAAAGAAATATTTTTAGATATCTTCAAACCATACCGCAACAATATGAACAAAAATTTAAAATCTTAGTAAAATTCGTATTTTATTAGCGAGTTTAAATGAATTTACTCAAGAAATTATTAATGAATTACATTCTAAATTTACTTTTTTATTTTTTGGAAATTTTGTACACATTTTTTTTGGGGAATTTATACACTAAATTGAATTTTTATTTATTTAATCATTTTATTTTTTGATAACTTTTTTGAATTTTATTTTTAGAAATTATTTCTTAAAAAATTTCGTAAAACTCGAATTGTTTATTTATTTATTATTTAATTCAGCTTTATCGAATTTATTTTTTAAAATTTTTTTTTATTTCAACCGTCCGTTTATGCGAATATTTTCCAACTAAATTATAAATCTCAAAATTTCAAGGGACTTTATAAAATAGCCGAAAACTATGCAATATACAATTTATATGCTTTGCCGTATGTAATTCATGCTTACAGTACTTTCTATAGCATTAAATTTCTGCCGCCAAAATGGATTTAAGCCTGGTTAATAGTTTAGAGAAATGCGTTCACACTAGCTTTAAAAAACGCTCAATTATAAGCCAATAAATGACGTCCCAGCAAATTTACATTTTTTTCTCACATACTTTTAGGCGCACATAACTATTTTTGTGTATTAATATTTTTAGCAAAAACCAGTTTTCCAACCAACGACCTTTATTAGTTGGAATTAGAGGTTACTCAAGGATGCATTAGTAAAATACAGAAAATAAAAATAAAAAAGTCACTAGCGGTTATATATTTATATATATAATGTTTATTTTTGAATATCAAAAACCTTACGTTTCAACTACTATATTTAGATGCAATTAGAAACTAGGTAAACATACTTTAAAAATTTAATAAGCAGCAAGTAGCAATTACTATAATTTTCATATTTTAGCGTGATACTAAGAAAAAATAATAATAAAAAATATCTTTCGATAAACATCCCTCACATAAAAAGGTGTGGCAGGCGCTAGCTTCAGTTCACCATTTCTGTGCTATATACTAGCCAAACTACCATACAGTTCTAACCTCGAGTATCAAATATTCCTCATCACCATCATCCTCGTCTTCGTCATAATCAAAATATGAAATATCCTAAAGTTCAACAAACATCCAAACGGATGGTAAAAGTGAAAGCGACGCAGGTAGTTAGTAGAAGTTTTCAATTTATTTTATTTTGTTCGTTTGTTTTGTTTCAGTAAAGCGGAGAGAGGAGAGTTTGTATCAAAAGAGCGCAATTCGACGGTCGCCCAGTGTACAGTGCGAACAAATAATATATAAAAATTATTTTAAGTCAAACTTTTTTTCTTAAAAAAAAAATATATATATCCATAAATGAAAAAGTAGTTTGTATAAAATTATACGCTAAAACAAAATTACCGTAAATATATGCATAATAAGTTTAAGAGTATAAGTTTGAGTATTAGAGAATTGTATGGGTTTAGTATACGATATGAGAGTGAACGCACGATGTATACATAAATTATGATATATTATATATAACTACTATTTTCTATTTTATTTGCCATTTGTAATTTTAGTTAAGCAAATTACATAATTACGAATTAATTATAAGTGTAGAAATTTGTGTATAAAACTACAAAAACAATTACGCTTACCTTAGCCGTTACATTATGACGATCTTTATTTGGTGAAATGATGACTTCATGGCCGGTTTGCAGAGATCCGACGGGCGTTGACTAAATACATTTCGTTAAAATGCGACATACACACAGATAGAGAGACAGTTTTTCAATTTTGCAGGCAGTAAATGCAATATTTTTTTCACATTCATTTAATTTTTTTTTTGTGTACGTTGCATTTGTTAGATTGAGGCCAATTTTCAAAGGTACAGGTGCAATTATTCAATAGTTGTAGTAGTTGCATTTTAGTTCATTGTTGTTGTTGGTGATGTTGGTGTTTTTTGTAGCAAACAACATATACACAACACACGGAGTTTTTGCATTTTTTTGGATTTTTTTAATTTGAATTTTGTTGCATTGGTGTTGTTGGGTTAGTAGTTGGTGATGGTATTTCGATGAGTTTGCAGCATAACACACGAATTATTTTTGGTTTTATGATTTGTTTGGAATAAAAAATGCAAAAAACAAATATTAGTTAGTTTCAATTTGGAAATTGCAATTTTGAACAAATACTACAATATACAATACATCTATATACATACATATATAAATAGCACACAAGTATTCATACATGTAAATCAGATTCATAAGCAAATACATATTTATGCACGAAAAATAGATTATATAAAAATTTAGCGATACCTACTAAATACAAATGCAAGAGTTAAAGTGGTAGTAGTTATCATATAAATAGCTCGAAAGGATGGTTCACGGCCCCAAAACTATAGGAATAACTATTTCAGACAACATTATAGCTTTTTGGAAGCTTTTTGTTGCGAATTAATCAAATTATTATTCAAAATTAGATATATACATATTTTTTAATCTATAATATTTTACTACAATTCGTTAAATAAAACAATTTATAAAATAACTATATAATCTTTATTAAAGTCACAAAGAAAAATTTAAAATACATAAAAAGAAATATAAAAAATAAACCAAAATAAAAATAAATTAAAAAAATATAAACAAAAAATTTCATTAAAAAACAAAACAAACAAGAAAATGAAAAACCCAAATGTATATAAAAAAAAATAATAAAATAGAACCAAAAAATATATAACAATAAAATAAAAAAAAAACGATATAAAAAAATAAAAATAATTTGAAAAAATACAAAAAAAAAATATATAAAAAATTAAAAAAAATTTTTTAAATTATAATAAAATAAAAAGTAATATGATTTTTAACAAATTATTATTAACATTTATTTTTTTAAATTTTATTGAATAAATTTTATTAATAAAAAATATAAATTTGCATTTCATTATTATTCAGTATTGCATCGAAATTTATTCATATACTATGTAATATAAATAAAAAAAACTATATATAATTTATGTAAAAATTAAAAAACAATAAATAAATATAAAGTAAGATAAAATGGTTAATTTTTTTTAAGTTTTAATCCGTGATTGTATTAAAATTTTTGTTTAAATAATTTTAATGTTATTTAGCAAGTTTGGTACTTTTTAACAAGCTAATATAAGATTTTGTTTTCAAGGTAACATAATTTTAAAAAAATATTTTTTAAAATTTTTTTTTATAATTTCAATTCAATATTATATTGGTATTTATATATATATAAATATAAATATATAAAAAAGCTGTTAAAACATAAAAAAAATATAAAAAATAATATAAACAAAAAAATATTAAAATTTTTTTATTCCTTTTATGTTTATTAAAATTTATTTATATATATTTTCGTTTTTATATTTAAATTGTGCTTAAATAATTTTAATGTTATTAGCAAATTTGGTATTTTTTAACAAACTAATTTAAGATTTTGTGATCACGGTAACATGACTTTAAATAACTATCCTTTTTTATAAATTTTTTCGACAATTTTTATTTAATATTATATTGAAATTTGTATACATATATATGAATATGTATAAATATGTAAAAAACAATAAAAATATTAAAAAAATTATTAAGAATTTAAATAAAAATATTATAATTTTAATTTCTTATTTTATTAAAATTTTTATTTAAATACTTTTAATGTTATTTGGCAAATTTGATATTTTTAACAAGCTTATTTGGGATTTCGTTTTCAAAATTATATTTAATATTATTTTGACAATTTTACTGAACCAAAAATATTTTTTTCTGTTTTTTTAATTTGAATTTTTATTAAATCCATGATTTTTTTTTAAATTTGTTAAATATTTTTTATTATAAAATAATATAAATTAAGAAATTATTTTCAACTTAAATTAACTGTTGTCAAAAATATATTTAAGATTAGCGATTTATAAAAAATATGTTCATATACATACTACATACTTATATAACTGCAATGTTTTATCTAAAATCTCTGCTTTTTATTTAATGTCTCTGTTTTTGAGATATATATATATATACCTAAGTAAGATTTATCGAAATTTATTAAACATTATTTCTATTAAAATAATTTATTTAACTTTATTTCCGGTCATCCTACGATATACAGAAGCGTACTAAAATATTATATGCTTAAATTAATTAAGAAAAAGAAAAAACAATTAAAATGTTTACATTTACACATATACACATATTCTAAAAAAGTTCGTAGCGTTTTAAAGTGTCTATCTAGTTTGCGCGTTCGTGATTAAAAGATGTTCTTTAGTTTCTTCGTATATTTGCTTTAACTATTTAGGTATGATTAATTACGATGTCTCAAATGCGTTTAGCGATAAACAAAGAATTGCCAAAAAATTTTATAGAAAAAACATAAAGAACATAATAACAAATATAATACCTTGTCTGATTTATTTTTGGCTAAATGTGAAGGTGGCGCATTCTTGATAACCTTCATTTGTTCAAGTTGTTCCTTGGTCTTTGGGTTTAGTGATTTTGTAGTTGTAATAAAAATTTAAATTACAAAATATTGTGGTGATCATGCAAAAACTCAAAATTAGTTTAAGGTAAACGATTGCACAGTCGCTAGTGTAGTAAATATATTAAAAAAATAATATTCAAAACACTTTCTTTCATTTTCACTTTAAATTTATAATTTTGTGTATTTTATGGCACAAAAACCAAATTATTGCAAATATCATATAAATTAAAAATATAATAATTTTTAAAATTTTATGCAAATACCAAGATACGGATTTTCATATTGGTTAGAAATCCAATTGGATTGCATCCGTTATATTTACAAAAACAAAAATTAAAATATGCATGTTTATTTTAGTAACCGGTTTTAAGCTATTATAAAAAAACCAAATTAATAAATTTTTGAAAATTAAAAAGAAAAAAATGTTTGCAAATATTTAAAAAAAATATTATATTTTTAAGAGCTTTTTTAAGATCTACGGTTTAAAGCCAACCGCAAGTTCGAAAATTTTATATTAGGTATATGGAAGATAGGGGTAGTATTGACCCAATTTTATATATTTTTGCCATTACTACATATTATAAACAGAAAAGGACGCTCTCTCAAATTCATTAAGGTACCTCACATACCATCACCAATATATAAGGAGTAAAGTCAACCAGATGTTTGAAAATCCTTATATTTGTTTAATGGGGGCTAGGGCAAGTTTTCACCCGACTTCATCTATTTTAGGCACAAAGATGTGGCGTTATTAAAAAATACACGCTCTCTTAATTTTATTATGATAACTCTATTTTCTTTTCTATTAGGTATATGGGGCTAAATAATTTTTGATCCGCTTCAAACCATATGTCAAAAGACATACCGACATACTATTATTAGAAAAGGATTCTCTCCAAATTTCTATAATATATCACACAGATTGACCAATATTTTCAATAAAAAGTTCGCAAAAGGAAAAAGAAAAGGGCGTAAATATGCGGTATCCGGGAGCTTGAACAGTTTTTGTCCGATTTGCTCAATTTTATGTAGTAACGTCACACATTTCAAGAGCACTATTCGCGCAAAGTTTTATCTAGATACATTGGTTCTTGATTTGTATACTGGAAAGTAAAATAATCAGATGGAGTTTATGGTAGAATTGTGTTATATGGAAAGAAGTCGAAATTGTTATCCGAAGTCGCCCATTTTCACAGAGTAATAGAAATGTCAAGATAATACTACTTGACGAATTTGGTTGAAATCGGTCGAGTAGGTTTCAAGTAATGGGCTTTCGCCTAAATGTGGCTGGTGCCCGTCCCATCCCATAAATTTGACACCGGCTCCTATAAAGCCCACTCGTACCATCTCGGGTGTAAACTCTTACGTCTCTGGCGCATTTATTTATAGATTTACCGGATTTTTTCGTTTTAAACAAAACCGTTATATCGGGGCTGGGCGGAATTCTCCTATTTTTACCGGGTGGATAGGAATGCCAAAAAGATTTGCGCTGAGCGACCTTGGTTTTATAACTTGAATGGTTTAGGAAATATGCGGGGCCACGCCCACTTTTCAAATTTTTTTTTATAACACCCTTGTATCTTATTGGTCCAAATATACCCATTTGCAATACCAACCCTCCTTTGGTGTCAAGGAACAGGTGTACCAAGTTTCATCAAAATTTCTCAATTTTTACTCAAGTTATCGTGAACAAAACTATTATACTCTGTAGCAACATGTTGCGAGAGTATAAAAATGTGTGTTTATTTTTCTCAACCGATTTAAAACTAATAAGGTCTTTTTATATTATAGTTAAAAATCGTTTGAAAAAAAATAAATTTGGTAGATCCAAAAATTTTGAAAATATTTTAGAAAAATATAATTACTGGAATTTTTTACACATTCACGTCAGTATTTGGAACTTTTATTTTTAAAAAATTTAAAACACAACCACTGACTAAAAAAATTTAGCGCACTTTTCTTGTTTTAATTCAAAATATATGCATTTTTATTTTTTCATTAATGGGAAAAAATAAAAATAAAAATAAAAATGTTGAACTTCAAATAACCGCTTTGAAGATATTTTTCGTAGCTCTAGGTTTTATGTTTTTAGCGTTTATCTTTTTAATAAGTCTATTGCTGTATTTAATTTAAGTTATATATTTTTAGTTCTTTTTTACGGTAAATTAAAAATTTAATAATGTAAAGTGAATAATTCTATACAAATAGATATTTAAATTGTTGTATGAAAGTAATTATTATATTAAGTTTGCTATGGAATAAATTTGAGTTTTATGTTTCAATGACTAGTTTGGAAATGGAAATAGAGAGGGGCCGCGTTCTTCAGCACTTGTTGTTGTTTCACTGAGCGAACGAAATATGCTTGCTTGAGGCTTGAATGCTTTCTTTATAAATATTTTTTTGTGGTTTTTGCTCATTAAATTACAGTTTTTTGTTTTAGCGCTCTTTTGATTATTTTATTTTTTAATTTTATTTTTTCATTGATTTGTTGCCGCGACAATGGACAATTCTATGCAACGGTGGTAGTGCTTACAAACAGCTCACAAATACATTCATACATTTTCATGAATAGGCCAGCAGGAAGGAAGTACTATTAGTTGTTGTAGTAGCGGTAGTTTCATTTTCAATTGACACAAATTGTACGGGTTTCGTTAACGGTTGGATATTCAATTGGATTGCATCCGTTATATTTCAATTGCTTGATTTCTTTACGACAATTTTGTATGGCAATTGATTGCAGCGTGTTGTTGCAACAGTTTCAGTTCGATTCTTTACTTGCTTTGCGCTTTATATTTAAAAAGAATTTTTTAGTAAAGACTGCGTTAAAATTTATCGATCAACTTTTTTGTACTTGAACCCTTTTCCGAAAAGTTTTGTAAGTTTTTTTTTTTTTTTTGTTTTTTTTTTTTTTTGATTTGTGATATATTTCAAAGGAATTTGATTGTGAATGAGTTTTGAAAAATAGAAAATGCCATTAGTCAGTGCAAAGTTAAACGAAATTGTAGTAAAATGTGCATTTGTGTGCAAAAACAAATTGATAAAAATTAAACTACCCAAAATCATACAAGAAAATTAAAAAGTGAAAAAATATAGAATATTAAAAAAATATATCAAGTGTTAAAACAAAAAACTTTCTATAAGTTTTTCACGCATGCGCAAAAGTTTAGTTTTGTTGCTCATGTGCATATATAGTTGTTTGTGTGTTTCATTTTCATTATGAGAAATATCTTATTATGTATACCCCTCCCCATATTCAATAAACATATACATACATATATATGACTCTGAGCACCGAAATGCGCTTAACTAATACAATTGCATGTATGTATATATATTAGGGTGTCCGTTATTTCAAAAAAAAAAAAAAAATCTCAAACGTCGCCTGATTTTTCAGTTATCTACTACAAAAAAAGATCCAATGTAAACAAGCTCTTTATTTTCAATTTAAACCGTGTTTAAATCATATTTCTTTTCCCATGTAGCATATATATTACTATGGGATATTTTGATATTTTGCATGAAGCAAGTAAATCTGCCACTTTGAAAAAGTTACATTCTAGTACAAAATTATTAGATTGACTTATTGATTTCATAAAAAATTTCCTTTAGAAGTTATACTTAGTTACAAGTTCATTACATCAAATGTACGGAGCATGCATACAAGTGATTTATACATTCTGTGTTGCTCATACGACATGGTGTACATGTATGAATACAGTACATTTGATGCATAACTTTAACTGAGTATAACTTTTAAAGGAATTTTTTTATGAAAAAATTACCAAAATATTTTACGTAGAGCGAAACATATTTCTCATTATTTTAAAGTTTTAGATTTATGTACTTCGAAGATAAAATCATAAAATCTGCAAAAGATCAAAAAATCGCAACTAAAATGTTTGGGAAAAATAAAAAGAATTAGGTACGATTTGATTTGAAAATAAAGAACTTGTTGGAAACTTAAGGAACGTTTGAAAAAAAAAACAATAATAATAATAAACAACTTGGGAAATAATGGACACCCTTAATGTATATGTATGTTATTCATATATCAATTGTAAATTGTATAAGAATAAAATTGTATATACCATTGTCTTCCCTGTCCAGTCAAATTCTCCATCATCCACATAGCCTTTACGATCGAATAAGTCTTGAAACAGTCTTCGCAGAAACTCATAATCGGGCGTTTCAAAAAAATCTAATCGCCGCACATAACGTAAATATGTTGCAAATTCTTCGGGATGTCCATCGCAAAGCACCTGTAATTTTTTTTTAATTTAAAATTCATTTAATGCATTTTTTTGTATGAAATTTGTTCACCTCAATGGGTGTTGCACGTTTTGTATCACCAATTTTTTGATATCGTTCTTTAAGTGTATCAGCCTTAAGGCCTTGCCACGGCAGTGAACCTCTTAAGAAATACATAAACATGTGTCCTAATGCTTCTAAATCATCGCGTCTTGATTGCTCTCTGCCCATATGTGTATTTATTGACATATAACGTGCGGTGCCGGTGAGAGATTTATGCTCCCGATATGGTATATGCCTATTTGTATCTAAATCAATGTATTCTTTGGCCAAACCGAAATCTGTGGAAAGAAATATTTTATAAAATTGAAAATATATTTTAATAAATTGAAAATATTATAGTGTATATGTATATGATATATGAAAGCAATAAAGCTAAAACCAACTCGCAGCGTAAATTTACGCTTAAAGAGAAAACTCCTTAACGGTATATTAAAGATTAAAGAGAAAATACCTTTTCACAACGGAATTTTCTGAATATCTCGGATCTACGTATGTATACCTTTTAAAATTTGCTGTATTTTTATGTACATATCTACATATGTATGTATGTATATTAGTAACTAAATATGTTAGAAAGCCAAAACTTACAAAATTACTATAAAATTTCTGCCTAGAGGTCCATATACAGTTACACTTCATTACACATAAAAGCACTTTATACACATTAAAGTTTAATTTTAAAATGTTGCATACCTATAGGCGTTCGCAACGCATGCTTTCACGAACTATTGACCGATTTACGTTACGAGGGTTACAACATACATACGTGCATTTAAGTTAAGAATTGCATAAACTAAATATTAAAATAGTTGCCTGTCTTTAGACGCATTCATAATTTTTTACTTTATATGGCCAACAAAAAGTTTGAACCTTTTTTTTTGTTATTTTACCATATAATAAAAATTGATGAGAGTCCAAAAAATTAGAAAACATATTTAACTCTGAAAAATTAGGCTTTAAAAATCTAAATTCGAGTTAGTTCCAAACACTATATTTAGTTCAAAAATAAAAACAATTACAACTATTAGACTTTCACGTGTTTAATTTTTACCTAACCTTAAAAGCATGCAAATATTTTCAATATTTTTTCTTTTTCTATAAATAAATTTTCATTAAAGGTCTAAAACATTTACAAAATATTTTCGTATCAAAAATTGTAAACTAATCATAAACATCTCAAAACTTTTCTGCCCCAAAAGTATATTGTCACATTAGCTATTTCTAAAAGCGGTACTACTGAAAACTTTTAAATATTTATATAAATATTTAGGGTTTGCAGCATTTCATAAACACTTAGAACCTTAAAACTATGCTACACGTTTTTCAATAATACTCTTTCGCATATATGCAAATACATTTCATACTCACCAATTATGTGTATAATTTTTTCCCGTCTCGTTGATGTTCTGCCTATGAGAAAATTCTCCGGTTTCACATCCCTATATATTAAGTGCCGACTATGAACATATTCGATTCGGTGGAGCTGAACAGTTACGTTGTAGTTGAGTTGATTGAATGATAGAAGAGAATAGTGTATTAGTGGCATATTAAAAACATTTCCGGGTATTTTTTTTAACAAAAAGGCATGCTTACTTTTAAGTAAATAAATAAAATGAAGTAAATGTACGCTATGTATGCTATAAATCGTTACGTTTTGCAAAAAAAATAAAATGCATAAAAATATATGAGAGCGTACGAGTAAATAAAAAAATATTTAAAATTATTAAAAATTAAATTATAGTCTGCGTTGATAAATAAATTTATAATAAAATGTTAAGAAACTATACTAATTTCTTTTTTAGTGTCTCAACTAGCGCTTATGCAATGCTAATGTAGAAAATAATATAAATAGTATAATTAAAGAAAAAAAAAAAAAATTTTAAATAATTTAAAAAAAAAAATTTGAAAAAAAAATAGAAATAAAAAATATTTCTAAAAACAAAAATATTATATTACGTTTTTAAGAAAAATTTAGTGACAAATTTTATGTTGATATTTTTGCTTTTTAATTACTTAATGCAAGATGGGCAAAAATTAAATATTTTAACGAGCTTGAACAATTAAAATTAAAATTTTCAAAACGGTAAATAATTGTGTTGCTAATATTTGTGCACGCGAAAACGGAACTAGAGGGATTTGGGGCACAATAGTCAAAAACAAAAACATTTAGAGAAAAGTGAAACACGCATCTTAACAGCCAAGTTTTTTAACTCAAAAACAATTATGTAAGTTTCAAATATATTTTTCATTTATTAATTAGCTAATTAAGCATGCAAAAATATGCTAATATCTAGAGACATAAAATTACGCTACTCCAAGTGCATTATTTAACTAGCGTTTTTTCCACAAATAACTTTTAACTAAATCATAGTTTTTAAATTTGTATTGCCAACTTTTTGAAAATAGTCACTTTGCAAAACCAAAAAAAAAATTAAATTATATATGAAAATAATTCTAGGTCGACATTTTTGCCAGCCATAGCGCAGACCACAACCGATCTAGCTAGCAGAGGGTTAAACCGCCACCCTTTAGCAAAGCTAAGAACCGTTTACACGATCCCATGCACACGAAAACGCACTTTCAACACATACAAACGCACAAAAAAGCACTGACAAGAGCTGGGGATGGGGTTCTACACCTAAAAGTGTGCTATTAATTCGGTATTTTACGCATGATTTTTTACTTTAATTTGATTTTCTATGATTTTGATTAGTAATTGTAGCATAAATACATAAATAAGTGATGAACTTTAGTGTTAAAATAAGCAAAGCGTAAAACAATTAGCAAAGACATACGAAAAAGAGTGAATTTTGTGTTGTTGGTAGCAGAGTATTGGTGCTAGTAATGGTGGTAGTGGGTAATTGAGACGTTCGATTTACATTACAAAACGAAATATTTAGTAATTATAGTGTTTTATTAGCGCAGAAAAACCATTAAAAACCATTTATAAACTAAGTCATTAAAACTATTTTGAATGTAATGCGATTTTGTAAATCTCTAGTTTGCCTATTTTTTTTTAGTTTTAGCGTTCTAAATGGGTTTTGGTTATGCTGATTTTCGCTTGCTTTTGTTCTGTTCATTGGTATTTAGTTGATTTTGGTTTTTCTTTTTTGTTTATTAAATTGTAGTTGTGTACTTACTAATTGTATAGCTATCAGTAGTACTGTCTTCAAAGTGAATCGTCTGCCGCATATATCAAATAAATCTTCAAGTGATGGACCAAGCAATTCCATAACAAGTGCATTGTACTTGCCGCATGGCCCGAAGTAATATACTTCGGGTACACCCTCTGCTATAATTATAACAATTCAAGAATAGCACACTTTAAACTTTTTTATTGTACAAAAAAAAAAATACAACAAATTGTAGAAAAATATATATTTTTTGTTTCAGAATTGGCAACACAAAAAGTATGTATTGTTGATGTGGGATTGCTGTTATATTAATACAAAATCATAATTCAAAAAAGATGTGAAAATTCTGGTTTCGAAAAATTATATCAACGAAAAAAAAAAATATTTGAAAAATATTATTTTCGAATATCAACTAATTTTTAGCAAATTTTGAAGATTTATTTAATAGCTTTCGGTGTTGGCTGCTAACTTAACAATTTTCGACTTGTTGATTTAATTTAAATTCGAACGTAGTGGCAGCACTTGCTATGACGGCTTCGCAGCGCGTTTATTTGTTTAAAACAAAAAAAGCCATTTTGTTGGAAATAAACTGTTTATACTAATATTTATAGCAAAAACGTAGATATCATAGAAAATATATATGTACATATGTATATAAAGGTTAGGCGTCCAAAAGCTGTAGTGTTAGTACATAAGGATTTGATGGTACTCACAATAAACATAAAAAAAATATTTAAAAAAAAAAAAAACAAATGTGAAAAAAACATACAAGAAATAAGCAAATAAAAAAATAAATCCCAAATTGTCGTTTTTTTAGCAATTGTTTTTGAATTGGTTTTTTTCCATTTGTTGCACTTGTGCTAAGCTTTAATTAAAGTAAAACAAAAATCTACATGTTTCATTAATATTTCGTTTATCACAAATGCAACATGAAGTTAGCACTTATACGCACGCACAAAAAAAAATAGAAATTCTCGAAGCATTTTTCGAAAACAGTCTGCTTCCTTAAACGCTTGCACTTTTATACTTACATATTAAAATATAAATACTTAACTAATTTACTTGTATGGTAAGAAAGACGAACACTACGGCTAAATATTTATTTTATTTATTTACAAATATTCATGCTGCACAGAGTGACATGACGTCTACTAAAAGTACTAAAGTATTCAAACCAGTAAAAATTACTAGCAATGCAACCCTAAATTGTTTCAATGCTACGACTTTACATTTTTATGCAGCATACTTGTTGGCGAATATTTCTTTACAACAAGTAATACTCATGTGGAAAATCATGTCACATGACGAACAATCAGAATCGCAGTAGTTCCCGGTACAAAATTCGCACATGTTCGATAAACGCAAAAATTATTCTATTTTGTATTGGCATATCTATAAAAAAAAAACCTGAAATAGCTATATGACGATCACCGATTATTTAAGCGAGCCTATAAAAAATACGAACATGTAAAAAATTTTTTAAGATAACAAAAATTCAAATCACTGCCAAAGTAAATATCTATTATGTGATACAAATTATTTAATACGAAAGGGTGAGGTAAGAAAGACAATTTTAATGAAAGATCAAATCAGTGACAAACTTTAGAACAGAGTCATCAAACAAAAATTACAGACCACATTTTCTAAAATGAGTTAAGGGCTTCACGGCTTCAAAATTGTTCTTTTGTTCAATTGCAACTATTTACACAAAAACGTCGACAAATTTTCACCAAAATTTGCATATTTTTGTAAGCATGTCGGCTAAATATACAATTGTCACTTTTTTTGTTTTTCCTTCGTCCAATATCTAGTTTATGGGTTTAACCAAAACAAGCATTTTTTACTTTTGATGAACCTATAAGAATTCTTTCTTATTTTTATTTAAAAAAAAATGGAATCATATTCCGTCGATTGTTATCACATAAAATTTAATCTTCAAAAGCAATAAATAAGCACCAGTTTCGGTCATAACATGTTGACTATGGCAACCTTAAATTTACCAGACATGTGAAATATGACATATTTTCGTCGACCAAAAGTCCATTGCAAATAAATGCTCAAATAAACATAATATGCAAACGTCAAATATCTAATAACCATACATTTAAACTGATAAGCTTTAAAGAAATCGGTTGACCTAAATTTTTCTCTACGAAATACAAGTATATGGGTTTTCTTCTCTTTTGATTAACACATATTTGTTTTTACACATTTGAAATTTGAAAAATGGTTAAGTAAATACGTTTTTTGGAAATTCAAAACCTATAGTGAGCGAAAAAAGTTTGTGTTCTCTCTGATAGCAATTTGACAGAGATAACTACCAGAGTAGACTAGCGATTAGTACTAAACATAGTATAATGAGTCATAAAAGAGAGTATAAATAGTAGAACTTTTAATTTGTACAATAAAGAAAATCAGCTGATATATGTGTGTATATTTTTAATATTTACAATTAGTTTTACATTATAATACATACTTTATAATGCTTAGTAGTTGTAAAAAAAAAACGACACTGGCTGTTGGGTTGTTGTTTCAAGGGTAAATAGAGCGCTGTCAACGAAGGTGTAGGGGAAAACAGTTTAACAGACGGCGTACACGATGGTTGATAGAAAGGAACATGCAATGCAAAGTAGAAGTTGGCGGGATCAAACCATTTTTTTTTTTGTAAATACATATGTTTTTAGTAGGGCGGTTGATTTTAGTCACGCGTTTGTTTAATTTCAATAATTTCAATAACTTCAATAAATGCAAAAATTAAAATCTGATAAAAAAGCAACTAACGAATTTTTGTTTATTTACATGTCTCAAGATTTAACGGGACATAACAGTTAAAGTCGATTTGATATTTAATGAAGCAAATTTTAAGTAGTTAAATTTTTTTTTTATCCAAATCTAGATTACTTTAATCATTAAGTATTATTTTAAATACTGAAGTAAAAATGTACCAAAATCAACTTTAGCTGTTTTGACTTGTCGGCATTTTTAACTAATTGTTTTTATTTATAAGAATCTAGAACAAACGGCAATAACAATAAAATTAAACTACAAAATACAACTAACCTTAAAACAAATGAAAACTCAACACTAAAAAATATTATCCTACAAAGAACTTCAAATCTAAGCGTAACTCGATTTAAAATACTTAAACTAATTAACACTTTTTTTAATTTAGATAAACACTACGTTTTAACAACAAATGTTAATTGAAACATTTTATAACTGTAACTACTGAAATACTGCCCAAATTATTATAATTAAAAAAAGATTTTTTTATTAATTAATAAAAAAAACGGTTCAGTTGCGCTTGGAAAACAAGAAGTAATGTACGAAAGATTCTTCAAAATCTTAAAATTATTCAAATAATGTTTTTGTAATGAAAAGAAGTAAACACAAAACGAGCGATGATCATGAAAAAATGTGAGGATTAAAACGAGACCGTTGATAAGGTAATACGAGTTAAAAGATTATACATTAGAGTAAAATTAGTTAAAAATTTATCCACTAGAATTAGATACAAAATTCGAAAACTAATTTGAACAAAAATATCTAGAAGAGATGTAAAACAAAAGTGATAGAAAGACAAAATCAATACACTTCGAATGTTCAATTTCATTATTTGAAAACCAAATTACAAAAAATATGACAAAAACGCTCCAGATAAAGAAATTGATGCTGACTCGTTAAAACTGAATGTCCATATTAGTTTTGAAAACATAAATAAAAAAAAAACAAGGCTGTTGAGACACTTACTTAAATATTATAAATAAATTTTACTAAAACTATGAAAATTTGTACATATATTTATAAAAATTTTCATTTTTAATATACTAATAAATAGTGAATTTGAGTTCTTTATAATAATCGAATACCTATACAAAGATGCATAAAATTAAATACGCCCATAAGCAGGGATTGTAAGCAATAGCACAAACAAGATTTATTAAGATGACTGATATTAAGCTTAAAGCTTTCATATAACTTTCCAGACAAATTAATAAAAGTTTCACCACTTTTAAGAAAAAGTTTCTTAAATGAAGAAAACAATACTCATAAATATTTTATTTACTTTACTTTTAAAATTGAATTGCCTAGTGAAAGTTTTTTGACATAGTGGAGAAAACTTTTGCCTTTTTTAATCGTAAATAAATCGAAATTGTTCAAGGCGAACAAAATATGTTGTCATTAAAAAAAACTCTAAAAGCTTTTTGGCTTTTTTGATCGTAAATAAATAACTAAAAAAAGTAAAACTTAAGAAGAACAAATTATGCTGAGTGCTAAACTATCAATAAAAAGGCGCTTAAAGTTTTTTAAGAAAAAAAAACGGCGCTAAAAGCTTTTTCAAATTCTAACACAAAGAAAAGCTTTGTAGATCATCAACATCACAGGAAAATTAATATATTTATTTATTTTCTTGTGTTGAAAGCTTTTTAGTGTTCTTATAACATCAAAAGGGTTTTTAACACTAGCAATTTGGGTAGAAGAGTTTTTAAGTATTGATTATACATATGCAAGTTTTAAAAACGTTAAACAGCTATGCAAAGTTTAAATATAGCCTCTCGTATTATTGACGATTGAAATTGGTATGCTTTGCAGGCTAAAAGCACTTTAAAACTGTGTTGCGCTGTTGGAATTTATTCTAAAAAAACAAAAACAATACAGAAACCATATGAAGCTTTTTCAAGCCTTCATTCTGAAATAGCTTAACGCTTCAAAGCTTTATAAGCTTTCATTAGTATCCGCTTTTCTGTTTTTTTGTCATAGACTTTTTTCTGTTCCTTTTCTTCTTATAACGTTTCCCTATTTTTTTTCTATCCCTCGTAAACTTAGCTTATACTAACCGATCTCGATATACAATAATATGCATTAAAAAACAATAAAAGCAGCATAGCGCACATAAGACTTATTTTAAACACAAAATTTAATGAGACAGAAAAATAAATAAAACACTTAATTTTCATAAAATACATAATATTAATGTAGCAAAAGAGAAAGTTGAAATAAAAAAGGAAATTTAGCATACAGAAAATCAAAAAAAAAAACATAATGTAAACTTACAAGTTGCTTAGATATCATCAGTACAGTCTTAAGAGAAAATTTACGGGAACAAATATTGAAGAGATCTTCTAAGGACAGTCCCAATAACTCTAATACCATGGCATTATAACGGCCACCACATGTGCCCAGATAATACACACGCGGTATACCCTCTGGACAATTATCTATTTTGTATATTCAATGTGGGTCACACGTCAGTGGTGAGTTCATTTTTCAAAATATTGATGATTTTTTTTTTATGGTTGTTGGTGTGTTTGTGGAGGTGATGAGTAAAGTAGGATCCATGATAACAAGCGGTTGTAGCATATCCGGTGGAGCAGCATCATTACAGCAGGTATTTTAGGAGTTTCAAATGCAATTCATCAATTGGACGTATTAGCACACGACGAGCAAAGGATGGTTGTCATAATAAATTTTTGGAGGATTTGTGTGCGATGATAGATTTATTTTGTGAATATATATATTTTTTGGTATTTTTAGCAATAGATGAATAGCACGCGCGCAGCAACAGCAACAACAATTAAATACAATATACAACAAATGTAAAAAAAAAAATTTATACAAATTATTCTCAATTTTAAAATATGTTTGTATGTGTATTTGCTACAGTCATTAAGTGTGTAGATTTATTACAAGAATTTTTTGGGATATGTATGATGAGACTTTTGTGAAAATATTTATTCTAAAGTTTCTTAATTTGCTTTTTTGGCAGCTCATTCTAGTGCGGTTAGTTCGTAGGGAATTTCTAATATTTCACTTACGCACCGACCTTCGAAATATGTTCGAGAAAATCTATTTTTTTTTCTTACTTAATTATAATAGATATTGAAGCCTTAATTTTTTCATAGCAAATGTGCCTTTTCCCCACAATGTGAGGACCTTCGAAGGCAATAACGGTGCAAACCTTTGAATTTTATAACAAGCAAAATTACGACAAGGTTTTATTTTATATGCGAATGTGGTAAAAGTGGGATATTCTCTAAGTTAAAAAGCGTGTGAAATAGAAACAACCAATAAATAGCTGGTAATATTGCTAACTAATTTGATGTAACTTTTTTCGTCAAGAAATGAGGTCACCAATCTAAATAATTTACTAAAGCTTCGAAAAAGCTTTCGCAAACCATCAAATTTGTTAAACCCTTATTTTCTGAACGTATTAAATCAAATAAATCAAGCTTTTATTTAAAAATCTTTGCGAATGCTGACTATTTTTAAATTATATTATGCCCCAATGTACAAGCTGCAGGAAAGCTAGGCACTCTTTTTATATAAGAAAATCAAAGAAGCTTATATAATATTGCATTTTGTTTAAAAAACTTTAACTATCTCAAATCGATAACTGAGAATAATTCAAAAGACTAACAACTTTTTTAAAAGCTTTACATTTTTGAAAAGCTAAAAAAAAAATATATTTCTTAAAATGCTCGAGCTCCTTATGAAAATAACTCAACAAAAATGTTTTACTTCATTACAAAAGTTCACACTGAGGATTAGATATGTAAGCTCTAAACTTTAGAACATTAAAATTTTTTTGGTTTTCTGATAGTGTATTGATCAAAGCTACAACAGTGAAACTGAGCTTTAAATTTTTATGTTATATGTGAAAAAATTTGCAAATAAAAAGCTTTGTGTAAAAAAGCTTTTTGAAATGTGTGTATGCACAAATTCTACATACTTATATTTTATAAAAGTGACAAATTTAAACGGAAAATTTATATAAAACTATGAAACTTTTAAAACTTTTTCAAATAAAGCTCAACATTTTTTATTAAAAATCTTATAGGTAGGCTTTTCGCATATTTTCAACTAACATATCAATAAAAGCTAGTAGTTATAAAATCTTTGTACTAAAGAGCTTTCACTTTTCTTTTTTGTAAATTAGAAATTAATGCAAAGTTAGGAAGCTTTTTAGACTTTTTTATAAAGTGCATTACATTTTTTAGGAAAAATCTTATAGGTGAGCTTTCATTCACTATATTTTATTGGCATACCAACAAAAGTTACCGAAGTTTTTGCTTTCACACTAAGTTATTCGAAAAGCTTTGTTTTAAAAAGCTTTCAATTTAATTTCTTTTTTATATTAGAACCCGTAAAATGATTCAAAAATAAGTTTGTGGCGCTTTTAGAAATCCCTTATGACAATTTTATTGAAAAATATACAAAAATATTTGGTTGTTTCTATTTCAAAAATTAGTGCAATTTTAGGTTAGAAATTAGAGATTTGATGTTTTTCACTTTTAATTTCTATGCAGCAACTTAAATGAAGTAATATGCAGAGTTGGATTTTTAGTTGAAGGAAAAGGGTTCAGTAGTTAACGGTTAAATATTGTATTTTTTTTAGTTTTAAGTAATTGAAAGCGATTACATACCATGTGATCCTAATAGTTTATAAAACCTATACTCTAAATGTAGTTGCGGAGCCTTTGACTTCATAGGCTCCATTTTTATTGCTACGTGTTCATTGTTGTACAGATTTTTGCCTAAAATTAAAAGAAATTTTTTTAGAAATATGTTAAAAAAAAATATTTAATTATTTACACATATAATTTAAATGCTTTACATAACTACATATAAATAACAGAAATATGCAATTTCAATAAAGTTATCAATAAAAAAATTTTAACACAATTTTTCTCAGTATTCGACAGTTAAAAAAGCAGGTATTCCACACAAGGACACCTTAATTTTAACTGATAGCAGGTCATGCTGATACATATTTTTTTATGAAAAAGTTTCAATATATGGTATAACCTATATAAAATATTTTACACCAACAACCAGAACTGCTGTTATGTCTTTACAGTCACCTAACACATAACCAAACAGGCATACAAATATACTGCGCAATTGCAACTTGCCATACCATACCATCCAACATGCACTCATCAGCACCACATCATCAGCATTGAGCAGGCAACGAGTAGATACGACAAAAAATAATACACAGTACGCAAATTAATTTTTTGGCGCACAGGAATATGGAATTTTCGTAAAAACAATCACAAATTACGAAAAAGAAATCATTCCACTGCTCCCAATTCGTTTGCGTGCACAGGCTATCCTACCTTCTGCATCTGAACTGGCGTTGCCATTGCCACTGCCACCGCTGCCACCAAAAAAGCACATCCGTCGTCCTATTGACGCAGATTGCAAAATAAGTAAATAAAATATTCAGTTTTCTGGCATAATATATATTTTTTTTTACTGTTTGTTATTTGTGTGCGTGAAAACTCGGTGAGTTGACCTATAAGCTTTTCGGTACGTAACATATGTACATACAAACCAACCTACAGTAAATGGATGGATAATTAAAATTGAGATGGAAATTCTGTTAATGTACGCGATGGTGGAAAAAGGAAAATAAGTCAATCATACCCGATGATCCTGTTATTTCAAAAATCGCAACGCCAAACATACCAATTTTGAACTGGGTAACCATTCGGAAAACCCAGACCTTATTCTTGCAGCTGAGGAAAACAACCTACTATTGACACTTTTTTCAGCAGTTTACTGTCTTTAGAGAACGCTGGAGATACTTTATAGAGACATCCTACAGAATAAAAGGCACCGTAAGGTTTAGAAATAGGATAATTACTCAAACTACAGGGTGATTCATGCGAAAGCTTCAAACTATCAAAGTTAAGTTAAATGGCACATTCAAACTTGTTTTCCAAAACTTACTCGCAAAAAAACTTCCAATTAGTATAACGTCCTATGTTTTGGTTAAAAAGTAAAAGAAATAAATACTTCAAGTTTGTTAAACTTTTCGCTAGCTCCATCAAGGTATTTATACGTTTGTCGTGACAAACAGTTTTAGTTAAAAATAAATCAAATAAAATGCATTATGATAACCTTCGAACCGCTAAATCTTGTAGAGTAATGAATCGAACAAACAACTGGTATAAATCACATAAACTGGCATAATCATACAAGTGGTCTTTGATTTACAAACAGCGAAGAGTAGCGATTCGAAAAAACAATTGGCATAAATCATAGACATAATCAAATATATTAAATGACCAAATCTTCTAGAGTATTGAATTGAAGATACAGCTGCTATAAACAAATGTTCATGTAAATTAAATAAATATATAATAGAAAACAATTATTAATAAGGTTTCGTTTTGGATTCAACTGAATGAGTTAAATTTTTCAATAAAAAATCAAATTTTTGACAAAAGAGCAAATTTCAAACATGGCTAGTAGAGAAATGGCGAATCGAACATGGTTACAATACTCATTGCTACCTTTTGGCCTTTGTCTATTCGGAGAAACCATAAAATATACTATATGTATATAAATAATACGCGAACTAGTGCCTTAGCCTTAGATATATAAATCTGTATTTTACTTCTCCGTAGGAAGTAGCTCATTTGTCGAAACCTAAATAATGCATATAGCTACCATATAAACGGATTGATCAAAATTAAGCACTTATATGGAAAGCTTTATTAAGTATAAACTATAAATGATCAACGTGACAAGCTCAGTCGAGCTATCATGTCCATCTGTATATACGCGAACTAGTCTCTTAGGTTTTGAGATATTGATCTGAAATTATACATACGTCGTTTTCTCTCCAAGAATCTACTCATTTGTTTAAAAGACATTTCTTCTCGTTTGTTTTTTAATGACAAGATATCTTTATGAAACTTGGCATAGATTATTGCTCAACGAAACGTTACAAACTCCGAATATATTGTTGAAATAGAACCACTCTATAGCTGTGATACAAACTCACAGCCCCAAATTCAAGTTTTTATATGGATTTTTTTGTGCTATAGCTCTCGAGTTTTGTTTGGAGTGCATTTGACAGAAAATTACTCTGAAAAATTGACGTGTTCATCTCGTTCATAACGTTGTATTTTTAATATTGACTCTATCATTCTTGAAAAGTTCTCATACTTTTTGCTGTCTCTCTCCCACTCTGAGCGTTTCCTTTTACAGTTCTGTAGTTTTTTATCAGAAGAGTGAAAGAATAAAATAATTTTTGATTTTTTGTACAATATGTACTAGTTTTTACTCTCTCGCTGTTAAATTCGAAAAATCACGAATCAGAAAATGTTTGTAAATTAAAAAATTATAAAAAAATCATCATAAATGTATATTTTCAACTATATAACGTTTTCATATTCGTAAAACAAATCTGCAGAAACACAAACACAAGCTGATTAATGCTGATTAGTTACGTAAATAACTGTGAATAATAAACAAAACAAAATCTGTAAATACAATAAACACGCTAAAAATTTAAAAAAAATAAAAAAAACATTTCGCAGCTATTTGCGCAAATAAATTAAATAAAACATGCAAATAAATAAATGCAAAGCAAACAAATGTTATCACTAGGCAAAAAACAAAAAAAAATACTGCAAATCAACATAATGATGAATGAATGGACATTATCACGAAGCCCAGTGATGTTGCGGGGAAGAGGTCGAGGGCAATGCAAAAATATTGTATGTGAATATTTATGTGGAAATTTAACGAACGCACATGCACTTGCATTTACTACCAATATGTAGGCATAAAAAATCAATTGAAAATGCATTTGTGTCAATGACTAAAGTCAACAACGTACAACGTTGCTGTTAACTAACACTCGCCTTGTTGTTGTTGTGCTGTGGGAAGCTGACGCTGTTACGCCTGTAGCAGAGTAAAATAGAAACAACAAAACTCAGAGGCTCATAGAGACTGCTGTTAAATATTTGCAGTTATACTCAATTTTAATTTGACGGACATTCTTCTATTGACATTCATTTTAGCATTGACAAGTGAGAGGTGAGGCATAAATGACATTGCACACAATCGAATTGCATGTAAACAGAAAAATAAATAATTGAAATAAAGTTGTTGATGGAAATTGTGCGTATAAAAGTATGAAAATTTACTCAATTGGTCACAGCAAAACTCAGTGGAAATTTTTAAAGCGCGCAACAAAGTTTTCTCGGTAAGTCAGCTGTTTGAGCACAGAAATAACAGGCATCTTCAAATCGCCATTTCTTTGCTCGCTACGAAAGCAAAAGCAAAGTCAGTGAGTTGAGTTCGATATCAACTAAAAGTAGTGTAATCAATGCATCGAAGTCTTGTTTTAAAGATTTTAAACCAGTTGTACTATTTTGAATGGTTAAAATGACAAATTACTGTCAAAAATTAAAATACATATATTTTTATACTCTTAAGAGGATATATTAAGGGGTTAGGGGTAGTCAGTACAAAAAAAATGCATATTCGTTAAGTTTAATATCTTGAAAATATTCTCTGAAAATTTCAAATTGATTCGATAATTACTTTTTGAGTTATTCGAAAAATAACAAAACGAGCTCGGGCACTTCAAAGCGCTCCGGAGCAGGTAGGTGAAATGCGTTTTTCTCAAAACTATGTTTTTTAACCTGGTGACAACATGCTTAGTACATTTTAATGAAATTTATACAGGTTTTAGAATACATAATAAACTCGGGAATGTTCGAAGGATTTTTTTTTTTTCAAAAATCTCGATATTTTAAGACCAACTGTTGATTTTTTCCCAAAAATCTAGAAAAAAATTCCTGAGGCCGTCATTTTGTTAATTTTTGAAAAAAAAGCTTCGATCAGACCCAGGATGATCTATTTATAAAACTAATTTTTTGTATCCGATTAATTTTAGATGAATCCCCAAGGACTTATGATTATCACCGCAAGGACCTTGGAACTGAGTCAACACAGACAGCTAAAACTTTGGATATTAAACTTTTTTTTTTTTGAAATTTCCGTGACTTCAAGTCAAAACATTGTATAATAATGCCATACTACTACTTTTGTAAAATAAGATGATTTAATAGCAAAAAAAAAAATTACTGAAAATTCTCACTTTTTCGTGCCTTTGACTACCCCTAACCCCTTAAGTTTACCACGAAGCTTGTAACACCCAGAAGGATGTGAGAGGAGACCCAATAAAATATATACTCACATTATATACTGACATATACCATACAAATTATGATATCGATATGAAATTATGACACGTTCTTTTCTCACCTAGAAGTTGCTCATTTGTCGGAAACACCGATATTGGATCACTATAGCATATAGCTGATATAAAATCTTTACGAGCAAAATCAAATTCTTGAATGGAAAAGGGTTCTATTTTACAAGATATGTTACAAGGTTATTATTCAAGGCAGTGCATATACATACGTGTATGGAAAACTGTTAACAAAATATATTTACGAAATTTGGCATAGATTATTGTATAAGATAACTCTACAATATCTGCAAAAAAAATATTAGATCGGACCACTATGGGATATAGCTGTCACACACACTAACCCGTCAAATTCAAGATAAATATCTTTTTATACTATTTTATGTCGTGTTGCAGCTGTCAAAGGTACAATATAGCTTTGGTGCAACTGAATTTATCGTTTTTTCTTGTATTTGTTTGTTCGGGAAATTCTAGCCAACAACGACGCAGGCGTGAAAGCAGAACGAAGAACAAAATAGAAGGAGAAATAAAAGAATGCACAGAAATGCATGCACATCGGCGTGACTTTGAAAAATAGTAATATTAAAGCAAAAATCATAAAAAAATATGTGTATGTTTATTAGGTTGGTACTTATTTATATGAAAAAAAATTTTAAAGAATATTTCCAAACTTCCAACTGCTATTCATTACTAATACAACGTAGCCAAAATATAGCCATATATTGTACACAAATATCGTGTCCGCATAGGAAAGTTTACATTTTTTAACATCCATAGAGATATCTGACCTAAGATCTTAAGGCGTGTCTACCGTTTATAGTCAATGCAAACATTTAGAAGTACTAGATTTATGAGTGTACTTATCGATTAAAATGGTGATACTACAAAATCATTAAACTGGTATTATAAGTGCCACCTTTATAAACATATATACGTTTAATTAAAAGTGAAGAACAAAGTGAGATAGCATATTGTTAGTAAAGCTGCAAAGACTGCAACACTTAGTTGCAATTTGAGAACCGACAGATCATTGTAAATGGTGTACAATTTAAAATACATGCTTTCAAAATAAAAACCAAAACGTCACCAGTAGATTTGCGTCTAATTCAATTTTTGTTCAGAACTATTGTACTTTTCAATTCTTCAGAAAAAATCTCTCACTAAATTTTC